TTTTTTAAGGAATGATGATGGAATGGTGCAATTGCCTGCGCTAACGATGTACGCTGGCGAGGCACCTTTGGAGCACACCACCACCCATCGTGGCAAATTCACCAGAAATTTGACATGATGGTTTCCAGGGGGAAGGTCAACCTGACTGATTCACATTACTAAAAATGCCTTAAACGTAATATCTCGTTTGGGGCCCCCCAAAAGAAAAATGCGATATGGACTTAAATTAGAAAATTTCCCAATATTTATGATAGACAAATTTAAAATATGTAACAAGAGTTCTGAAAACAATAAGTAATAAAAATAAGTAGTGTAAATATTGAAGTATATAGGGTATTACAGGTAGCATACATTAAATAGCTAGTATTATAAGAAAAAGAAGCCTTATTGTACACACAGGATGACAATAATAAGAAAGGCCTAAAGGATCTCCTCTGAACCACACGATACAGACTTGCATGTCTAGTGTGTGGTTCGCCATATTGTGTAATAAGTGTAAAAGTGTTTTATTGGCCAATAAAGTTCATTATTATTTTTTTTTTTTCCCAAAAATTCTCATCTCCCCTCTTAAGGAGAGGAGATGGCAACATAACCCCGGCAGAAGTACAGTCGGCCGGGGTTCTTATTATTATTATTATTATGTCGCCACAACGGAAGCGACAGATATTACTTTAAACATAATAATAAAAAAAAAGTAGTGGGCTACAAGCACACCAACTACCATAATAGAAGCTCTGCCTAGCTTGGATAGATGTGCCACTATCCCCTTTACTAACAATTCCCTCCCCCCATTCGCAGTCTAATATTGTAACCACACAAATCTAGTAGCGATTGCCGCGTCGAGTAACGCACAAACAAATTCATTGGGGACAATCATGTGCCAACGTTTATTACGATTTAAAACACTATTTATAATCAAACAATTGTTGTGCATATTACGTAATAATAACATTGTCATTGTTTTGCGAGATACTATTTTAATAATAATAATGTCCCTGGACAATTCACACAGCGCCATCTAAAGCTTAGCTAAGCAGAGCCTATATTGTGTACTAGACAACTCTCCTCCTATGACCTCCACGCGGTTCCCCCTGGAAACCATCGTGATAAATTCTTGGTGAATTTGTCACGATGAGCTAACTTACCTGACCTCATGCTCATCTTATCATCTTCCACTGGTGCCCCGCTAGCGTAACCCGTTAGCGCAGGCGGGTGCACCATTCCATTATCATCAATAAAAAAAAAATTAAAGTGGTGGTGTATCAGCGCTACTGTGGCAGTTTGCCGTCGTCAGTGCCGATAGAGATTCATAAATAGAAACATACATCTTTTTAATCAGTAAAAATTCACCAGAAATTTATCACAATGGTTTCTAGAGGTTGTCAAACTGACATGGTACATTAGTATACTATATACTATAAACTAGTACCTACAACTATATATATTAGTACTAGTACACTATGGGGTTGTTAAGCCACATTACTAACAATCCCACTTTCTGAGATACGACTTTAGTTGAGGCCACTTTAGGGGTTCCAAACTAGGCTAAGACTGTCCTTTTTTATATCGCCATTGGAATGGTTCATATGAGGGTTAAACATACATACGTCCACCAAAAACTTCCATAAAAAATATATGAACTGAGAGAATATCTATATATGTTATAATTTACTAACATAATATGGATGTAATTCAAGATAAATAAATATATAAAGTAAATAAAAAAGACATTTGTAAGTGAAATAGCCGAAAGGTCTTGATAAAATGTTAATCTCTATGATAAAATAATTTTGTCTTAAGATTTTCACTTTATGCATTAAGCATATTACTAGACTCGGTTGTTCGCCTATATTAGCAGAATAGTTACGGGAAGAAAGGTCACTTGGCTTGGCTCCAGTAGGTACCGACGACATCTCGTGGCAAGACGTTACTATAATAAAAAGTGTTTTACACATAATTTGTAACTATTTATAATACTAATGTATATTATTCTCGTATCACAATATTTGTAACAAAACTCCTCTGAAACGGCTCGTACGATTCTTGTGATGTTTTGAATATTCAGTGGATCTGAGTGAGATCTTTGTGGAAGCGACGACGAGAAGACTTGACGAAGTTTTCCAAAAGCTACAACTAAGCATACATAAATACGTTCGTTCAAAACCGAGAACCAACAACTAGGTAAAAATGTTCATAAAGTTAGAAATATTTATTTTACGCAAGCCTGTTATTTATAGAGACTTGTTGAATGTAAATAGACAATTTTTTATGTACCGAAACAAAGCCGGCGGCTGCTCTCTGTGTCATGGACGGCAGTAATACGTACACAATTTCCTATTTAATTGTTTGACCTTGTAATACGGACTAATGAATACTTAAAAATATAGAAATTCGCGTCATATTATCATAAAAAATGGGGTAGAATGGGATTGTCCGCTGTGATCTGGAACAATCCGGGAGCTTCAGTCTCGAATCCGGAGAATATGTCTCAAAATAATCGGAAAAATTTGGGACAATTCGAGAGTCTCAGTCTTTGACCCGGAGAATATAAATCTTATAATAATTGGAAAATATTGGGACAATTCGGGAGTTTCAGTATCGAAACTGGACAATATAAATTTCACAATAACCGGAAAAATTTCAACAATTCGGGAGTTCAGTTTCGGACCCGGAGAATATAAGTCTCAAAAAAATGGGACAATACGGTAGTCTCAGTCTCTGACTTAGAGAATATAAATCTCATAATAATCGGAAAAAATTGGGACAATTCGGGAGTTTCAGTCTCGGACCCGGAGAATATAAGTCTCAAAAAAATGGGACAATACGGTAGTCTCAGTCTCTGACTTAGAGAATATAAATCTCATAATAATCGGAAAAAATTGGGACAATTCGGGAGTTTCAGTCTCGGACCCGGAGAATATAAGTCTCAAAAAAATGGGACAATACGGTAGTCTCCTCTGACTTAGAGAATATAAATCTCACAATAATCGGAAAAAATTGGGACAATTCGTGAGTTTCAGTCTCGAACCTGGACAATAAATTCACAATAATCGGAAAATATTGGGACAATTGGAGAGTTTCAATCTTGTACCTGGACAATGTAATATCACAAAGAAACACTGATATTTCTAAGGTTTGGGCCATGTTATATACTAGTAAATTCTTTTTTTAACAGTGGACATACAACTTTAGAAATAATTTCTTTTGTTTTAAGCGTGTTTCTTTACCCCAGTTTCAAAGTGGTAACCCCCAATAGTTAATAATTGCACTTACTTAGTCAACATTTGCACGGTGCAGTATAAATGCATTAATTAATTAATTTAAATTAGGCACCTACATAGATATTTGACGACCCCGATGGTCTAACGGTTTAGCTCACCGCTTTACTACCAATGGTCGCGGGTTCAAATTCCTCGTAGGGTGCAAACATTTGTATTCATGCCTTGATAAAAAAAATATTTTTATCAGTCCTTTACTAATAACACTTAACAAGCTCTGCTTAGCTTGGGACTAGATGGCGCTGTTGTTGTCCTGAGATATTATTGTTATTCTCATAATTATTTACTAATTATTATGAAACTGTTAAATTTATTACGTAATAGTTAAATATGAAGATATAAGTGAAGAGAAGAAATGGTATATTAAATAAAAGATGGAATACTTTCAAAAAGCAATATATTTATCCATTAGGTACATAATAAAAAACTTTCAGATCAAACGCTGCATCTAACATGCAATATGCTATGTTGCGGGCCAACTATAAATTACGTCACAGCGTATGACACAGTGTGACAAGAAGTAGGAAGGGTTCTGAATTTCGTGACATGACATTTTCAAACCTAATTTAGTACGTATAAAGTCGAAATTTGAACTATTAACAAAAACTTAGATATTCATCTATACATTTAAATAAAATTGGAGTATTTGTTTGTAATATTGAAATACTTCTTTTTACTATATGCATATGAATATAAACTGTCTGACTGTCTGTCTGTTTGTTCCAGCTAATCTCTGAAATGGTTGGTAGTATTTCATAAAGGTGTGTAATATTTGATGTTAGACAAGTGAGGGAAGGTTTAGTAAGAACGGGGGGGGGGAGGTAAAAAAATCATGAAATTAATGCAATGTAATTTATGGTTGGCCCATTATGACATGTTTACGAAATTTTATAAACAATACGAATTGTAATGAAACAGTTCGATTGTATTGTAATCAATACCAATATCAATAACATTAAAATATCTGATATGGCAGTTCGGTTATAAATTATTTAAGGAACTTTCAAAATATAACTTATATTTTACAAGTACTGCGCGTATCCAAATCTCATAATAATATAAGCTCTACACAGTATTCTTTCATTCCTCGACCACAAGACTTAGACAAATTTGGTTCAGTTTTACTGACACTATTTATATATATATATATATATATATATATAATAAGTATATCGAGTATAATACATACTACTGATAAAGCTGGTCCTTTAGTCAAAAGACAATTTTGATAATATAACATGATAGTCAAATTATATTGTTTAACTACATTTATGTCTTAATATCGACAGTTATCATAAAATAAAATTATAAATAGCAATTTCTAATATTCCAATAATTATACAATTTCACGTGGTTATTATCGATCGTTATCAAAAGTTGTTCACAAGTTCAAATTAATGTATGACCACATTCTAAAATAAATAACATCACTTACAAATAACAAATCACAGATACGATTCATAAACTGCCGCAGATTACACTAACGGCGACCGTCGGGGCGCTATAATTTATAACGGTCAGAATTTTGAGTGTCAACACTCTTAGCGACTCATTCCAGCCCCGAGGTCCATCTTAAACTAAACGCAGTCTCGAAACCATACGACAACCTAATACTGACAACCTGATGAATTGCATGCAACATTAATATGAGCATAGAATGGATACACTCGTTAGGTCCCGCCGGTCGGTCAGCACTCAGCACTCACTGTACTCAGCACTCAGCACTCAGCTCCGGTCCGAGGGGCTCATATCACAGAGGGTGTGGCGGCGCGCTCGGCCCGCGTCACAGGTACGGCATGCAGGCGGCGCAGCGCGAGCGCTCGGGGGACTCCGCGGTCCTGCACACAAGCACCCGTCAGCGGACGCTCACGAGCTGCGCTCCTCGCGCCGCGACTCCGAACGCCCCAGCGCTCGCTTCAACTTCTCCACCAACCTGGTGTGGAACTTGTCCGCGTCCCGGGAGTCCCGCGGGCGGCTAGCCGGGCCCCGGGGACTGTGGGGCCCGTCGGCGCGCAGCGAGCCCCGCGACGGCGGCGCGCGGCAGTACGACAGCGAGCGCATGGCGGGCGCGCTGCGGTGCGGGCTCAGCGCCGCGCGGGGCCCCACGCCGCCCGCGGGGCCCTCCGACCGCGACTCGGACACCTTCCGCACGCGCCCGCCGGGGCCCGCCTTCTCCCCGGACTCGGTGCTCCGCCGCGAGTTGTATATGTCCCAGTCGTTCTTCACTACCGGCATCATGAACGCCATCTCGATGACGGCGACGGTGACTCTTGAGTTTTAACGTGTTTGGTGAAGTACGGGCCGCACCGAAACGAATACGAAGCTCAGTTCGCGGAAAATAGTTTCGCCGATCGATATTTGTAAATCGCGATCTTTCAATATTAGCTTTCACAATTTTTCAGTATTATTATTTTTGAATAATTCTCTTATTTATTATTATTTAAATGTTGACTTTTGTATACGAATTTAGGCACAGACGAGGAAATGTTCGGCTTTCACCTCAATGTCACTGGCACTGAACCGATTAGGATAGGATGTTCACCCTAGGATGAATTGCGGTAGAATGAAGTATTCGTGAAAACACACCCTGAATATATGGAAAATAATGGCGCCACTATCGCAGTGGCCACTATCGAAAACTATGTTTATCTACAATTGTTTTATAGGAATTACCCAATTATATTGTTTTCACAAATTCACACTGCTAAATTATATGTTAATGGACTTCAATTAGAAACGTGGTTGTAAACGTAAAATAGTGGAAATCTTTTATATTTTTAATATGAAAATTGAATAGTAGCTATTTGTTAATAGGTGGCGATATAATACTGCTAGTGACCAATAGATGGCACTAAGTTTAAGCACTACCTGAAATATGTAAAACTGATGTAATACAATATTGATCCGATAGATGGCAATAAAATTAATATTAAAATTAAAATTGTTTATTGAAACATTTTAAGTATAGATGTATAGACGAATGGACGGTTGTTTGTTACTCTTTCACGCAATAACTACTGAACATGTTTTTTTTATTATTAAATTAATTTAGATAGTTTTATTTCCTTAGTATTTTATAGTTTGTTATTCATAATTCTCACTTAAATATTAATTCTTCCTTTTTTCTGTTATTGATAACTTTCCACGGTATAAACATATGTGTTTTAATACTGTTTTTAACCTACTTGTACCTAAATGACTGTATCTTGTAAAATAAAACTACAAAATGAATTAGTAAATTATTTTATTATTATTAATAATATAAATTTTAATTAACAATAAATTATATACATAACGTGCATTTTAAAATTAGCTACAGTACATATTATAATGCAACAAATTCACAGCAAAGAATACCTTAATACCGTGTATTACAGTGCAAACGATTATATAATTAACAATAAACAAACACACTTGGTGGGAAAAGTAATATCACATTTGTTAACTCAATAAAAGGCATATTTCCTACACGCTAAAGCTCATGTTTATTAATCAGACATATTATTCTAATGAGTATTTTGTTATAAAATTTACAAATATTATAGTATTAGCTACATTATTTATATCAAAATTGTTGTTATAACTTGATTTAATATGAATATTTAATATGTTTAACCATATTAAATTACCCGAGATGAATAAAGTTTCACAACGTGCGGTCCTCTCACCATAATAACAAACCAGGGCAATTTACTTCTATTATAGGTATTATCAAAACAGCCAGACCACAAACAATCATACTTATAAATACAAATCTTAGGATTGTGCGAGGAATCGAACCCGCGACCGTGGGAAGTAAAGCGGTCTCCCAAACCTAATAATTTTATGGTAAACAAAGGTTATCTCTCTCGACGTTACGACTATATTGCACTAGTCGTAGTCATGAGCTGACACAAACGTCGAGAGATAAATGTCTTTATTTACCATAAAATTATTCATGTTAAAACCCGGTTAACAATATATAATAGACCGCATGCTTGTTTATCACCATCGTAGTATAAAAAAAATGTAGTATGTATGTATGATGACTGCTAGAGTCTAAAGAGGTAGTCAGTTATATTCCTATCACACTGGAATTCAAGATTCAAGATTTGATGGGGGTACTATGTTCATCCTTGCTTCTGTCAGGTTCGTAATAGCCGTTCAGGTTGACCATAGTCAGGAGCTCCACCAGGTGTCTCTGGTACCCGCACTCCATAAGCTTGGTCACCACTTTGTGCAAATATTTCGCCAACTTCTCGAATAGATGGAACAACTCTTGTAGTTGCGGGTAGCTGGTGTGCACGAAGTGGCCATTCGCCTCTTTCTGGTGCCATTCACTGGATAAAAAAATACAGATTATAATAGAAACACCCAATATATATCTGTGTCTGACCACAGAGCTATCAAAAAGTACTGAGTATATAAGTATAGTACTCTGTGCGCGATCCATCATTTTGTTTTTTTTTTTAATAATGCTTTATTCTTGACCATCTGCTATTATCCTTGCAATTACTAATATTATAAATGCGTAAATAACTCTGCTTGCCTGTCACACCTTCGCGTCAAAACTACTAAGCTGACTTAAAAGAAATTTGGTACACACATAGTCTACACCCTTAGAAAGAACATAGGCATTTATTAAAATGAAAATAGGGTTGAAAGGTGAGGTGAATTTGTATGGAAGTATTTTCATTTTTAGAGCTAAAAACTTGAAACTTATTATTTAGGCTGTTGATTAAATATAAAAAAAGATCCACGCAGACCAAGTCGTGGGCACAGCTTAATTAGTTTAGTTAGTTTAACTTAGTTAATAATAAAATATATTTTACATGGCAAATAACTAAATCTGAAATTTAATAATAATAACCAAGGACAATTCAGACAGTTATTAAAAAAAAAAAGTTTGTTTTTACATACAATTTTTAGTCGTACCTATTCATACTGAAATAGAAAAACCTCAATAATATAGGGTGTCCGGCCTTTTCACCCAAATGTCCGGCCAAACTGGCTGGTATGTCCGGCGATATGGCAACCCCATTATATATTATCATAATACATATATTATTTGCCACTATAATTACTATAACAAACCACTCACCCACTCTTCAGAACGCGGCTAAACTTCAAGATAACCGTGAAGATATCGTTCAGCAACTTCATAACCGGCGTCGACCTATTATTCAACAAGCATCTGAACAGCACTTTCTTTATATACACCACGTGACATTCGTACAGGTCGTCTAGTGTCCTCGCCTTCTTCAGATCGTTCTCGAACTCCGTCCACGAGCTCAGTATACATGTGGTTACTATGTAGTTATCTAACGCTCGGATCATAGCGGCCATGTTGTGACGGTAGATCTGTATTGAAATGTATTGCGGAGAGCGTAGCAGTTTGCGGGAGTGTTGTCTTGAGAACTTGACTGATAATTTTAATGCCTGTTATAAAACAAATGATTTACTACTCTAGGCCAAGAATACAAATAACAATTGGATAGCATACAAACGATTCACTGGACGATAGAGGGCGAGTGCAGATGGCACTGCAAACCAAAAAAAGGACTTATGGAGCGGCTGAAGGCCAAATCCCGCCTGACGGATACGACTTTAGTTTAGCACCGCTAAGGGTTCGAACCTCGGCTCAGGCCGTCGTAATGTCGATCCCCATTTGAATTAGCAGGGTGATCGATAGGAGGGGATAATTAAATAAATGTACTTTTTTAAATTATGAGTAAATCATAAGGTTATGAAATAGCTAGAAGTACATATATAATAATAATATCTCACGACAATTCACACAGCGCCATCTAGTCACAACGTAAATAGAGTACAAGCTCTACTATGGGTACTAGACAACTGATATAAATACATAGATTTTTTTTTTATATACACATTAATATATATAGAAAACACCCAGACAGATATAAACAATATTTCTCATGAATACAAATATTGGTACCGTGCGAGGAATCGAAACATCGGTTAAAGGCAATCTGTTAAACCACTATACCACTGAGGTTACGTCATCTTACCTCGAAATCTTCACCGAGCACCCAGAAGATCCTCCTCATCTTGACGAGGAATTGAAACACCTTGGCGTACCGAAGTAAAGCTTCTTGCGATAGGATGATATTCAAAGGCCATTCTACCGCATATGTGAGAGAGAGGCATTGGAGCACGTCTGGGGAGCTGTGTTGGAAGCTGAGTGGTGACTCCGTGATGGTGAATGATAAATTCTCAGAGAATTTGTGTACATCTGTAACATATATCTTCTTATACATAAAATTCTTGTGTAACAATGTTAGTTACCATACTCCTCCGAAACGATTTGACCGATTTTGATGAAATTTTATATGTTTATTTATTTTTACACCCCTAAATGTTAAGGGTGGCTCACCTCGAACATTTTTTTTTTATTTTTTCGACAGTTTTTAAAATTTATTTCTTTATTATGTGGCATTAAAAATACAATCCTAAATTTTCACCCTTCTATAACCAACCCCTATTTTTTAATAGCGATTTTAATTTATATGTCAAAAAAACGTTCGCAGGGACAGGTAGTATTAGTAAAATGTTAACAACTTACGTGAAATTGATGAGCCCAGTGCTTTATCCAAAATATTATGCAACGTGCCGAAGTTGAGCAATTCCTGTGGGTTGAGCGTCTTGGTCAACTTCGTGAACAAATTGTGACAGATGCTTCTAGAAAATTCGCCGTCCATCAAAAAGAAGTAGTCCTTCAAACTCCTCAAATGTTCGTACATGTCCAGATTCACCAGAAAGTATGTTAATATTGAATTATTAACTACCTCCAACTGATATGTTAGTGGTAACATAACCGATCTTTGTAGACACGCTGTCAGTGTTGCTATATTATCACAATTAATTTTCTCCTCTTTCTTCTCTTCGTGAGACCCGAATATATTTGCATACGGCCTCTTTTTCACTTCCTCCATTATGACACCTGGATGTGTATAGCACGATGTTGCCATTTCAGCATCCAATTTATTGCTAAAATACTCTTTTGAGTAGTTCTTCAAATGTTTTACACCAAACGGATCAAAATTGTCTATCTCGTATTCTCCATCTAGCATATTGAAGAAAGAATACTTTTTGGTCAATTGTCTCTCGTTTGGGTCTAGACTCTTCATTGGGGATATATCCGGACTCTCCTCAGTATGTACATTGCTAATTATTTCTATATCATCTATCATAGAGAAATTGAAGCCGTTGGATGAAATGAAATTATTGTCGGGTATAGTTTTGGCTGTATCTAAATCTTTGAATTCACAGCGAGGCGTGAAAGCGTCGCTCGATTGACCGCCGACCGGAATTTCAGCTGTAGTAGGCGTTTCTAAATCGAGCTGAAAGTTTACACATTGCATTAATAATCAGGTACTGTAACTATATGACGACTACAGCAGTTTATTGGTTTAGCAATTTTTTTAATTAAGGCGGTAGTCTTAGTTTAAAAGATTGCAGGTTCGATTCTACGCTATGTGAATTGTCTTGAGATCGCACCGCTTTAGTTCCAAAGGTCACAGGTTTGACTCTACGTTGTGTGAATTATCCTGAGATATTATTATTACATAATACGTTAAAGTCAATGTCGTTAGCATAAATGTGATACAGTTTTTTCTACACACTTCCATTCCAAATCTAAGATACTTGCTTTATAATATTATACATGTACAATACTTAATAAATACCCAAATAATATATTTTTCCATAAAGAACCTACATGTACAACAAGTACAATTTCTAAACTTAACAATGTTAAAAGGTACCCGAAATAAAATCCCCAATAAAAAGAGACTGAATTATAAATAATTTTTATAACGAACTACTGTTCTATTTAAACTTTACTTACTGTTGGAAAGAAGTCATCTGGCGTCACGCTTCCTGTATTTGCAACTACGCTTTGGCTAGTTTCACCATACGGCTTTAAATTCAGAGTTAATCCAGCCCTTTTAATACTTTGTTTGGCATTCGTTTCCATGGGCTTCAAATCATACTCGGAACCTAATATCTTCTTTTTATTACGAAGTGCTTCTTCTTGGGCTATATTTGCAGGTTCTCTCTTGGCTATTTCTTCAGCTGGAAGATTATACTCCACGCGTAATACTTTATTCTTATTCAGTAACGCTTCTTTTTGAGCTTCTGTTGCTGGTTCCGCTTGTTTAGACTCAGGTTTCGCTAAATTGAATTCTGTACCAAGCACTTTAATTCTATTCCGTTTAGCTTCAGAGAATGGTGTCCACTCTTGTAAATTATTCTCTTCATCGACTGGCATGGTTATAAGTGGAGGATCCTTCATTACATTATTCTCTTTATCTGTACCGTATTCATGTGACATCACCTTTTGTTTATTCAACAGCGCTTCTTGTCTTGTTTTCATAAATTGCACATTGTCGCATGCTTCATCTATCATACTACCTATAACCTCACTCGATGTGCCTTTTATATTAGAATTAACTTCAGTGCCAACGATATTTCCTTGAGCATCTAATTTGTTATTGTTATCACATTTTTCTTCTGTATGCTTCGAAACACCGAATATACTTTTAGCAGCGTTGCAAATGACACTAAACATGTCACTAGTTGTTTGTTTAGCAGTTTGTGTTACTTGAGATGTTTCTCCCGTTTCTGTGATGATCGACGATGATGATTCTATCACGTTTTTGTCTATTTTATCACCATAACCATCTTGTTCATCATCAGATTTGTAATCAATGCTTTGTATGGACATAGCCATGACTTCTTCGTTCTTTTGATGCTCTAGCTCCAACTTCTCTCTTTTTAGATTCCTCTCTTCCGTCGATAGCAACTGTATTCTACTCTGATCTAATTGAAGACGTCGTATTTTCCATTCTGTATGTATTTTACTTTTTTCCACTTCCATGTTTAATTTTGAATAGTACTCCATAATTTTGTTCCTAAAACCATTAAAATTGTATTGAAATATTGTAGGGTGCTAGATTTATCACGTAATACATTTCAGCTCAAATAGCATCATAAGTAAAAAAATATTAAAACTATTTTAATATACCATTGTTTTTTTTCTATAATCCTTAAAAACCTTTTATTGTAATATCATTATCGGTCTCGAGCTGGTCCGAAATTGACAAATGAAAGTAAAATTATTTTGTTCGCATTGTATTACTAAAATTATTTTTTTCTAATTATAACACTAATAATGTCTTTTTAAATCTAGCTTTTTTAGTACACTATTTGAGAGAAGCGAGTCTAATCGAATCACTAGTTTATTTTTTGTCCCAAAGCCCGTCTTTCTATAACCGGTCCTCTTTAAACCGGAATTAATGTCACCTCAACAGATACTCACCTTTCATCGTCCCGGATCCTGGAGTCCACATCATCAGCCAGAGTGTCTGCAGCAACCATCAGCCGAGCCGCGTGGGAGCTGCGGCGACGTGAGGCAGCCGCTTCCGCCATGGCTGCCTCCAGCACTCGCAGGGAGTGCTGCTTCTCAGCTATTATAAGTTGCCCCAGTCTTTTCCTTTCAGCTAAAATAATAACTTTATTATGCCTACTATATATATATTTTGATGGCCTGTGGTTTAACCTACCTCTTAATTTCCATGGTCGCAGGTTCGATTCCTCGCACGATAAAAACATTTGCATTTGTGCCTATGAGTGTTTGTATCAGTCTGTGTGTTTTCTATGTATATTGTGTGTGCATTTACAATTTATTTATATCCTCCGCCTATATAATATTTGTATATTAATTATTATTATTATTATTTTTATATTTTGACTAATTGACTATTCAAAAGTGCTTAAATTAAGTTTATTTGAATAAATGATTTTCTATTCTATTCTATTTCTTACTTGTTAATTGTTTTTAATCATTTATGAAAAAGGATTTATGTTAATTTAGATTTATAATATCTTAAGGCATGTCATTGTACTGTTCATACATACCGATAATCTTCTCCAAAGTTTCAGCTTGCTTCACCGACGCCATTTCCGTGAAGGCCTTCTTCTCCGCCTCCCTCTTGAGTAATATCTGGTCGAAGGTAACTGGCTCCCCGCTGACGAACAGACACCGTGTGCGATACACATCCAAGATTTGCTGTTGCTCTTGAAGATCATCGAAACTGGCGCAGCATTTGACGGACGGGTGGTCTGACGATATTAGGAGGACTAGGGGATCCTAAAATAAAAGTTTCGATATCGACGTATTTTAGAATTTTAATAGATTCAAATCAGCGATTTAAAAACATATTGAGAAACAAAAGTCAAACTAGTCCATTTACAATATAATACAATAATTTTATAATTAAAAAAATATTAATAGTTGCATCATTTCTTTCAGCTTTCACACTGGAGCACAGCTCTTACCATTTCTTTATATAGAGTGGAAATTTTCATTTCTTTTCATAACCATAGACTATACAATAAAAATAATGTTACCACAGACTAAAATATTTCTTGCTATTATTTATATATTATTTTTATATCTACGACGGTTGGGTAACCGTCCTTTGCCTAATTTTTCGTGCCAGTCATGAACAAGCGAATAAGATTAAGCTTAATAAGAAAAGCCAGTAATAAACCAGTAATAAAAAATACTCACGCTGGGGTTACAAAGCTTCAATAATCTCAGTGACTTCCCACACAGCAGTATGAACCTGGCGAGAGATCTGAGGAAGTCAGGTATGGCAACACTCTGACTGATATGGTACCCTTTGTCCCAGTAGCGTTTGGAGCGGCAATTCACGTATTGGGAGTCTTTACGTATGAAGAACTCGTGGTATCTATCATTGAGTTCCCCTTCAAAGATGAACCGTTCGATGAACCTGCCATGAATAAATAATAATAATAGAATATACATTGACTTTATATGTACGGCCTGCAGGAAATCGAACCCACTAAAGCACGTGTACGTAGCGGCTAGAGAACGGAAATCGTTAAGTTTTATGTAACAACCATACTCATGAATACAAACATTTGTATTCATGAGTATGATTGGTTCTGTCTAGGTGTTTTTTATGTATATTATGTATGTATTTACAAAAATGAAATGAATACAAACATTTGTATACATGAGTATGATTGGTTCTGTCTAGGTGTTTTTTATGTATATTATGTATGTATTTACAAAAATGAAATGAATACAAACATTTGTATACATGAGTATGAATGTTACATCGTGCGTAGTATGATTTGCGTGACATAAAAAAGAACAAACAAACCAAGAAAATACTCACTTGAAATACACCTTGCAAATAGAGAACAACATATTGAACATTGTGAATGCAGTTCTCTTTTCAGTCACCAGAGATATTTCGTTGAACAGGTACGACATTAGCTCGGCGCCGTGCGGTATCGTTGTTGACTCTACAACATTAAATACACACTAATTTTATAATATAAATAACTAGCTGTGCCCGTGACTTCTTCCGCGTATTATAGTGACTTTGATCAAATAAAGTAACCCAAAGAAAGTCAAAAAGTTTCAATATTCTAGCTTAAAAAAAACGAATTTATTAAGAAAATAGATATGACATTCAAAGTTTGTAAAACTTTGAATGTCATATCTATTTTCTTTTTAATCAACAGGCAAAAAATAAGTTTCAAGTTCTAGCTTTAAAAATGACAATTTTCAATACTTCCATATCAACTTTCATCTCCCCTATAATCTCTCCTTACAACCCTTTTTTCGCATTAGAAAGTAGCCTTTATCCTTTCTAAGGGTCTAGACTATCTGTGTACCAAATTTCATTTATAGCGAGACTGACAGACATACTTTTACATTTATATTGGTATGGATAAATAACCCTGGACAATTAAGACAGCGCCATCTAGTCCTACGGTAAGCAGAGCTTGTGTAATCAATACTAGACAACTGGTATATGAAATAATAATAACTATAAATTAAGATACTGAATAATTTCGGGAATTAAAATAGAATAAGGGTAATTAACACAGCGCCATCTATAGATATAATATAAACAAAAACTTTGTACCCCTTATTATGAGAATTGTGCGGACAGAAGAGTATGAAATTTCGCACACTTATAGTTTATACAAAGAAGGAGTGCACCATGCTAAATATTTTTTTTAATTATACACAAAATACATTAATTCAATAAAATAATATTACATTCAGTACCAAATATTTGACATATATAATTATATATATAGTGAGTATATAAAAGACATACCGGAATCTATCATTTTGTACACAGACACAACAGTTTCAATTTCCAGCTGCAGCGGTTCCATGTGGTACAATATCTGCAGCAGTGTGGGCATGCAGTTCAAATCCTCGGATTTGTTTTTGGTACATTCCTCGTATATCTCGGTTGCGAACAAACGGAACTCCAGTAGGTAACGCCTTATGACTTCCCTGGCCGCCTGAAACGCAAATACAAATTAATTATCATTTTTTTAATTAAAAAAAATATTCTTTTACAAATAATAATTTCTTACTTTATTGATTGCTATGTTATGGGTACTAGGCAAGTGATAAAAAGACTGGAATAAATATTTTTGTATGTATGTATTTATACATAATATGCATAGGAAATATCCAGACAAATACAAACAACACTCATGTATACAAATGTTTACATCATGTGAGGAATCGAATCTGCGACCATCGAAAATAAGACCGTGTACTAAACCACTCGACCATAGAGAGATTCAATAGAGATTAATACCTCTTTAATATGTACTGACAATCACACTCAGAGTACAAATGTTTGCATCGTGCGAGGAATCGAACCCGCGACCGTGGAAAATATGAAAGTGTACTAAACCACTAGACCATAGAAGCCTTCAATAGAGATTAATATATCTTTACTGACCTCATAAACCAATCCGTGGCTATGGAAATGGTCCTCTAATTTGTGGTTGAAGGCGAATTTATAAAGTCTCCGGTAATATGTGCCAATATTCAACAGTTCTGATACGTAGCCGTTCAACCTTTCCTTTGATATACCCTCTAAAACCAGATTCCTCTTCATGTAGAAACTGTTCAGCTCATGGTTGAATGGAAACGAGTTTGTTTCTACGCCAACTGAAATCATTTTAATATGAATGTGGTGCCAAAACAAACACTAAGTATCAATAAGTACTATTTAGTAACTAGCTGTACCCACTGCTTCACCCGCGAGGAATAAATAGCCTATATGTTATTCTGATGTGTAAGTTATATTACTGTAAAGTTTCATCAAAATCCGTTACGTTAAAAGAGAGATACAAATCTCTATCCATACTCACAAACTTTGGCATTTATAATATTAACTAGCTACTTGCCTCGGCTTCACACCGGTGTACATGTATTATATATAAAACTTCCTCATGAATCGCTCTATCTATTAAAAAAACCGCTTCAAAATCCGTTGCGTAGTTTTAAAGATTTAAGCATACATAGGGACGGACAAACAGCGACAGCACACATATTATTTTATACTATGTAAATGATAAGCTTTACTAATCTTAACTTCTCAATACATTCGAACGAAAATTTCATGTGTACCAGGAAAAATACTAACAGTTTAAAAACAGATAGCAATTACTCTATTAAAAGAATACGTAAAAATAACAAACTGGTTTCACCGGCAGTTTAACTAAAGTTAGTAATTCATTTTATGGTAACTGCATAAGGTTTTACTACTTAAAGTCTACCCTTTGCGGGATACACACACGACACCGTCCTCGCCGGCGAAGACGACGACCTCAAACACACATTATCGCGCATTCAACCGGGCGCCTGCGCGCGCCCGGGCGCCCCTCCGATCGATCCACCGTCCAATTCAAACGGGGATCGAAATTACGACAGCCTGAGCTGAGGTTCGAACCCCTAGTGGTGCCCTCAGACTAAAGTCGTATCCGTCGGGCAGGAGTTGGCCTTCAGTCGCTCCATAAGTCCTTCCGCGGGTTTGGAGTGCCATCTGCACTCGCCCCATAACGTCCGGTGAAGCTGTAAAGGCCAGCTACGGCCAACAGCATTAGAGTAGTCCGAAAAAAAAACCCTTGGGGGAAGGGATTGTTGAACTGATCTGACTTCATGCTCATCTAATCATCCTCCCCTAGTGGCCGGCCAGGGTAAACCATTTGCTCGGATGGGAGCACAATTCCATTATCATCAATTAGAAAATCTGTTCATTTCTATCTTGTGGTCTTCAGTTACCTATACACTCTTTTTTTTTATATACTACTATGGTGGCAAACAAGCATACGGCCCATCTGATGGTAAATGATTACCGTAGCCTATGGATATACGCGATCGATAAGAAACCTTAATAATTTCCTTCAACCACCTTCTTAAAAATTGTTGAATAATTGAAAACAAACAACAAATACATTAAAGCTGAGTGGAGCCATTTCAGTGTATTTTTGGATGTAAAAAATGAGTATTTTATGTTTATTTTTAACTATGGTAAATTAAGTTTAATTATATGTACATTTTATTTGCTCTTTTTTTTTCGTTTGTTGTTTATATTGTATTTTTTACATTGCTCTGAATAAAATATTTTTCTTTCTTTCTTTCTTTCTTTAAAATATATAACTACTTACTAATTAAATACATGATATGCCTTATAAATTGCTTCTCAGCGACTACACTGAGGTCGGACAGTACATCTTCGTGTACACGACGCCACAACAGAAGCTCCCGTGGTGAGCTCGCTATGAGCTGGCGCTCATTCACTAGTGGTAGTTTTGCTGTAAATAAAGTGTTACATATGTTAACTCATAATTTCAAATTCAAATTCAAATTCAAAATATCTTTATTCATGGTCTATTACAGACTCTTATGATATGTCAAATCTACCGTCAGTTCGGAATGATATCGAGATGAGAAGAACTGACAAGAAACTCAGCTCGTATTTTTTTCAAATAATAGTGGAACATGTTTATGATAAATACAGTTATTATAATTCAAATTTGGGAGAATAGAGTGACCACCAGCATATGCTATCGCAAAGAACAAAAAATTTAATCAGTGTTCACAACCTGAACAGACCAGTCCCCACAAACAGCACCCGTTCACGAGTATGACGGATGAGCCAGCCATCATTGTACTCAACCATATCTGAGGGAGCACATCGACCCGGCCCACCACGCCGCCACAAGTTTGAACTTTATAGCGAGCATGACTGTTTCAGGTTACTCCACTACGTCAATTATATTATTTACAGCATAGGCTGTACCGATCACAGTTTTCACCCATTACAATATTAAATTTACATTATTTAATTTACAATATGTCATTACAAAATTTAAGAGCTGAGCTCTTGTCTGTGAAGCTCTCGCTACCTTTGACGATCTTCTATCAGTCTTTTTAATTGTTGATACGACGCGACTCCAAATTTTTCCTTAACTTGCTTGATATAGCTGTCTTGCTCTTCCCCTTACTGGGAAGTTTTAAGTTAAATAACAATTTGACTACTTACCAACAGTATCCCAAATGTCATCAGGTATATCTTTATCAACCTGAGTTGCCAACTCCCAAATATCCAGTGACGCTTCATCAATATCAGCTCTGAATACTTCCTTTACATCAGATTTCAAGTTTGTGTTCTCCAATGAAAACTGTAATTATTTTTTGTAAAGATTATCAGTACATCTTAATTAATGTGTGAATATTATAGAGAGAACAGATTTGGTTTTTTGTTATATCAGTGGCACTCAATGAGGAAATAGCCATTATTATTGCTAAAAGTTGCATATAGATGGCGTGATTGGTATCGATGGAATTCTTCATAGTTTTGCAAACGTTTTAAAAAACAAAACTGTGTTTTCAAAATAGTTTAATCCATTTTTAAAAAAATATATATACATGTTAAAATGAAATAATGCGTTTAGAAAAGTAATTTTCATATATTTACTCATTTTGTTATTTTCCAGTACTTAATTACACTTTAATCAGTGCTAATACGGGGCTCAATGTTTTCAAAATGCTTTCATAGATGGCATTGTCGTCATTTGTATCGGCCTAATTAAATGTCTTTTTTATATTTTCCAATAATAAGCACTTAATATATTATTATTGTAAATTAAACATATAAAAAAAGTTTAAGTAAATTAAAAATAGCCGAACAAACAAATAATACTATTTCCAATAATACTTATGTATGAAGTGTTGTCATATTAAAAATAAATACATGTATTATCGATTTTTTTTAATAATCGATAACAGGATTTTATTACAGCGCATTATTCGATGATGCTTTTAATGAGTCGTTGTGAACAGTAAATTTTCATTATTTTGTATTAAGTATAGCAGTATTCCGTTTCAAAGAACGGAATATAGTAGTACATTATTAGTGTCGTTGGTTATTTACATTTGTACTGAAAAATCGATTACATAATAATTTAAAATATCGAGTACGAATCGTAGCTGTCTTCGAATACTGGCAACTGGTAAGATTAAAATAGTTTTAAAAAAAAGAGAGAAATCGACCCTAACTCGAATACCATAAAGTTTATTTTCCTTTCTCATTAATATCATAGCAGTTTGTTTTTAACTTGCGTATGACTCTGTGGTATGATGTTTAACGTGTATTGTTATTGTACGGTGCATACATTTCAAAAATTATATTTTAATGTAGGTACAAACATTTCTTTCATACATTTCATACATGTCAAAAATTATCTTTTAATGTAGGTACATACATTTCTTTCATACATTTCATACATGTCAAAAATATCTTTTAATGTAGGTACATACATTTATTTCATACATTTCATACATTTCAAAAATGAACTTTTTATGTAGGTACATACATTGTTTTCATACATCTCATACATTTCAAAAATTATATTTTAATGTACATACATTTCTTTCATACATTTCATACATTTCAAAAATGAACTTTTTATGTAGGTACATACATTACTTTCATACATTTCAAAAATTATATTTTAATGTAGGTACATACATTTCTTTCATACATTTCATACATGTCAAAATTATCTTTTAATGTAGGTACATACATTTCTTTCATACATTTCATACATGTCAAAAATTATCTTTTAATGTAGGTACATACATTTCTTTCATACATTTCATACATTTCAAAAATGAACTTTTTATGTAGGTACATACATTGTTTTCATACATCTCATACATTTCAAAAATTATATTTTAATGTAGGTACATACATTTCTTTCATACATTTCATACATTTTAAAAATGAACTTTTTATGTAGGTACATACATTTCATACATGTCAAAAATTATCTTTTAATGTAGGTCCTTACATTTCATACATTTCAAAAATTTCATACAATACATTTCTTTCATACATTTCAAAAATTATCTTTTAATGTAGGTGCATACATTTCACACATTTCAAAAATTTCATACAATACGTTTCTTTCATACATTTCAAAAAGTATTTTTTAATGTAGGTACATAACACCCCATGTCAGACCCCTTATATTTGGAAGAAACTTAAAAATAATGCCAAAAATATTAGATGAATATATTTTTAATACGAATATTGTTTTATTTTTGTTCATCAACTTTATCCCTCACTAACAATACTAGTAGTAGTACATAACCTGGTTTATACCGCTAAAGATATTGAAAGATATACGAGTAATTCAGAATGTTATCAAGTTCAAAATAAGCACACATTACTTGCTTAGATAACAGAGTAATATTACTAGTAATAAAAACATTTGTAATACCCATCTGTATACTACGTATGTATAGTAATACGCTGCGGCGCCGTGAGACTCGTCTAAGTACTTCATCTACTCATCTACGCGCGGTAACCGCGCCGACCGACCAATAGGATAGAATTCCAGAAAGTTCGCGACTAACGGACGATATAGTAGTAAGGCAATGAGTGTCCCAGTGATATCATTATAATATTTTCTCGTTAAATTTTATTGTAATATACACAATTTCGCACTAAATAACGTGTTACCCCGTTACACATTTCTAATAATGAAAAACCTAGACCGACCCTGTTCACTTAATCTTACAAGATCTGACTTTAAAAATTACGATATCCTCATATAGCCTTTCATTTCCCCTTTCAATACTTTTTCGCATTAAAAAGTAGCCTTTCTCAGGGTCTACATTATCTGTCTACCAAATTTCAATTAAATCAGTTCAGTAGTTTTGGCGTGAAAGCGAGACAAACAGACAGACTGAGTTACTTTAGCATTTATAATATTTGTAAGAATATCGCTATTAAAAATAGGGGTTGGTGAAAGACGGGTGAAAATTTAGGCGTGTATGTATTTTCAATGTAACATTATAAATAAATAAAAAATTGTCCATAATACAAAAAAATATTTTTTCGGGGTAGGCCACCCCTATGACTTAGGGGTATAAAAAATAGATAACAACCCTACCTCAGACCTGGGAAGTATACATATCAAATTTCATCAAAATGTGGGAGAAATATGGCAACTAACACTGTGATACAAAATTTATATATAAGATATAGCGGAATTCTCATTAGGTAAAAGAGGGGTACATCGTAGAATACATGAGGTATATACCAGTAAATTAATTGTAGCTAAAATCAGTCTCATACATATAACGATTGAAATAAAAAATCGTATAGCCCGATTTTGATACGTACGAGTATAAACGTATCAAAATCAGGCTATACGTATAGCGCAGACGCGTTACAACATATCAAAAAAAATAGGCATGGAATGTAAAATAAACCATAACACAATAGGTATATACATTGGCACATAAGCCATATCTGCAGAGTGTCGGCTAACGATATTATACCTACACATTTACATTGAATCTTGAATCGTCCCTAATGAGGTACACGATACAGTTACCTACATATCTATTATATACATATCTTTGCAAAACAGATGTCATGTAGACTGAATTCACTGCCATCTATTTTCATGCTTTGTTACTAAGCACCCACTAGTAATCCGAACTGCTTCAGATCTAGCGACATCTAGCGGCTACGGTGGCGAAATAAAATAGCCCGAAGAATAGCCCGAGTTAGGAAGGAACCATTTTCTTGTATGGGATGGGGTATCTGTATGTAATATTATGTTATCTGTGGTTATATATAGGATTAAAAATATTAATAACCATGTACCATGGGAAACAAATATACCTAAAGAGCATGCTATAATAACAAATAATTATTAGGAAATAATAAACAAATTCATGAAAAATGACTATGTGGTTAATTTATATGTGGTAGAAGGAGGAACGAAAGGTATACCAGCAAATCTCTACAATGTTCTAAAAGATCTTGCCTTGTCTAGAACTGCAGTAAGTTCTATACTAGAAAGTGTATCTAAAGCTGCACTAGCAGGGTCCTACCAGATTTGGCTGGGCAGAGACGCACGAGCGGTGAAGGTGAGTGTTGATATACGTCGGCAAAGAGGCCCCTTAAACCTACATCTGGGTCACAAGTCCGGCGAACTGCTCAGAGTTTCCCTCTCTCACACATGATGGACCTGGCATCCGTATGGTGAATCCATGGCATGCTAAGAAGTTTGTCTCTATATTATATTGCTTACCTTTATGTTAACATCATTGGAGTCAAAACCAGGTATCTTAAGGTCCCTGGGTGCAGTCAATTGTGGGTAATTGAACATAGTTTCTGAATATGGTGACAGATGGGTAGATGTCATAGATGCAAGTGACATCGGACTCAGGAAAGTTTTCACTTCTGCAGAATCACGTACTTGAGAGTTGGTGTCAACTAGAACTGAACAATGTGAATAAATTAATTTTATTTGAATTCTTCAATAACTTGATATAGATAATAGTGTTTATAAACTATAAAATCAGATTTGTTTTTTACGTACTGACTTTTGTCAATGTTGTAAATAAATTAACAAATAATGTAGTTAGGATGAGTATACACACAGTCACTCAGCTCTGCTATGTGATTATGACCCCCATTACTTGTTTTGTGACTTTGAACCATATCAGCAAACTTAACAAGCTTCAACTATTAAGTAATAAGGACACACTCTTATGCTACGACAGGTTTGATTATTTGAGAAATACAAATATTTGTATTCATGAGTATGAATGTTTATATGTATATCATGAATGTAATTACAAAAACAAATTATTTAAGAATATATCCAATGCCCATAACATAAACTCTGCTAGTCCCAAAACTAATGTTTTTTTCCACCTGGTGTTAATGTTTGTTTCCAAGCAGAAGCTACAGAATACAATTTATGGCACAATACATACATGATTTTGAATCAAAACTCTCCACAGTATATTCTGTGTAAGTTTGCGACCTTTGGTTGTCCAGGAATGATGCTTGTTTTCTCAAAGAGTATGGCAATTCAAATACATGTGGTGGGTAATATGAGTATGGCTGTGGTGAGCCATAGCTTTCTATTGGAGGCTTTGGTAGCATTTTATCTAGGGCACCAAAGGAGAATGGATTCTGAAAAAGTGAGTAATTTTTAAAATAAATTTATGGTAACATGCAATTAGCATATAGTATGGAGTTTCCTATGGAGACTTCATAAATTATATTACACATTAAGAAGAGAGTTCCGCCCTCGTCAAATGTGATATTGTATAACAATCACTAGAGGAGTCACAAAGTTTAAAAATATCATGAAAGTATCCTGAAATATCCAAGGCCACTAATTTTTAATACAATTTTATTAAAATAGGTTTGAGTTAAGTAATGAATAAAGAATATTATTTTGTATAAATGACTTCAAAATCAACTCTCTAAGTCTGTACAAAAATATAACCAATGTTATTTATATATTGCATATGTATGACTATATATATTTATATACCTACTACTAGATTTGTACCTATGTCAAGAACATATAGTAAACATAATTTAACATTATACTTTTATAATTATTATCATTAAAATATTAAATGCCTTAAATAAATAAAAATAAAATAATCCAAGTTATTTGTAATTTTACCTTATACATTTCCACAGAAAAATCATCTTTGACAGTGTTACTTAATGCAATTAGAAATCTCAAAATATTATCAACACAATTTCTGTATTCTCCAAAATCCTTATTACGAATATCGCCAATTATCTTCTTTAGTTCAACATATCTATTATATTCTATTACATTTCTTATATTTTGTTGGGAGATATAATTATAGCATAATAAATGATTGATTGGGTCTTTAGCAAGACTTTGAACACATGGCACTGCTTTGGGTGTCTTCCTTAGCAATATCTCATAAGATTGAGTCCTCATCTTACTAACAAACCTGTGCTGAGGTATTCTATTTTGCCCACAATACTTAGAAGCAGTTTTTTGACACAGTGCAGTGACAAGATCAAAAACTCCATCATTCTCTGCCATATCTTTCTCAAACGAACCCATATTTATATGTAGTAGAGGGAAATCCAGTAGTGCATGCAAAGCAATATCATTTATTTATTATATTCAGTATCGTTAAAGTACATTTTCAATATCAAAGGTACAATCAAACAATATAACATTTGAAACCGCATTTGAATTTATATGTATGTTTTCTACAATGCTAAAAACAAACAAATATTTCCTAATTTTAATCAATTACTCAGGAGTTTGTTGCTCATTTACAGGTTAAATATTTATTTGCATATGTTTTGTTTAGTGTAACAAAATAAAACAATAAATGAATCTCCTTGCCGAATAACAGTGCGATGACAGTATTGACAGCAATCAACTGACATCGATATTGTATAAAACTGACGACAAGGATAGAATTCTTTAACATGTCGTCTCCTATGGGAATAATATTAGTAATAGCTAAGCAGCAGCCCACAAGGCTAAATAAAAAACCTTACTTCTTAAGACAATAGGAAAATGAGTTTAAATTAACTTTACACTGTATAAAGTACACCTTCCAGTTACGCAATAAAATCGTTGGGTGATTTTTGACAGTGTCCTATCGCAATACAAATCTTTTTGTTTTTTTTCTTTCAGGTATTTTTGATCTGTGGTACAAATAAGAAAATAAATTTAAAAAAAAATATAACCTAAAATAAAAACATTTCTTAATTTATTTCTGTCTTGTCTTTTAAATTTCTATGAATGAAATTAGCAAATTAAATATAATTTATAACTAAGACTCAATTGATATTTTAAACATGAATCAAGCTGATGTTACAAAATTAGTTTCCAAACTTCGATTTCCTGTACATCCAGAACGTCGCAGGCTCAGGAATCCAAAAGGTCCAGAAGGAAGAATAGATAAATTGCGTAAAACCGTAACCGGTTTAATCAAATACGAGAGAATCGAACTAAATCATAACAGAGCCGATGAGGCCCGGCAGTATGCAGAACGGGTAATGACAATAATTATATTTATTACAAGGCAAATCATTCTTATATTATTTATTGCTAATTACCACAAAAGCTCTACATCCTTACTGACTCCGCCAATGCCAAGTTTGACCAGTATGGTAAACAAAAATAGCAACAACATTTACTTTAACAACTTAATTTGTTAAGGATATTTACCCTACTATGATATGTACTCCACTATATTTTGTCTAGAAAAAACATGGAATATCTTGTCCCTGATAGAATAGTCAAAGACATTATCAATTATAAACAAATTTTGTGTTAGTCAAATATTCTGTTCACTATGATGAACACAATATTTGACTAACATTTTGCTAAGTATATTTGAATCTAAGATGACTGGGGTTGAACTTATCAATGTTTTTTTGATTAAATTTTAGTTTAGTTCTCATGTTGCCTTCACCAGGTAGTCACAATTATTAACAGTTTTATTTTTTATCTGCTAGATTTGTACTCGCATCCAATGTAAGTCAGGGTAGTGAACCACTGAACCATGACACTTACAGACTTTCATTCATGCCAATTGTTTTTATGCCTTTGATATCAAAGGATATTAGACCAGCAAAACCATATGGTTTGCTGGTCTAATACCAAAATAAAGAATATTAATATTCATTTAGGTCTTACAGATATTTAAGATAAGTCAAATCTACTCTCAGTTCTAAAAAAAGTTTGAGCTCAAACTTTTTTTACTCTACCTTCTTGTGTTCTCATTCAGACACATAGCATTGCACCCCATAAAACACTTTTTCAGCCCAGGAATGTATTTTCTCTACCAGTTATTTATACTATCCTTCACAGATGATGTTTTTAGCAAATAGCCAAAGGCCAGTAAATTAAAAATGTTATCTCTAGTCTATCTAATGTGATTCTAAATTTAAAATGTGCTCATGTTTAAATGTTTGTGTCTAGTCTATCCAATTATAGTTCTAAATTTAAAATATAATGTACTTCTGTATTTTTCAGCTTATATCAGAAGCAATTCGACATGGAGACTGTCATAAACCAACAATGGATATTGCAGATTACTGGCTGCTAGAAAAGGAACTTGTGCACAAACTTTTTAAAGTTCTCGTACCTAGATATGAGGAATTCGGCACTTGCTATACAAACTTGTTGAAGGCACCCCGACCTGAGTACACTCGTAATATTGAAAAAGTTGTTCTGGAATTAAAAGGGAACCCATATCCAGCACTTCGTAATAAACAGTCTAACAATAAGCTTTTGATCCAGAATGTACTGCTCGATGCAGCCAAATATGACTATAGACAATCCAAATATGCGGAGATGGCTGATAAAATTGGCAAAGGAGAAGCAACTATTGATAAAGAAAAAGAGAATGCTGCAGAAAGCCCTGCCCAAAGTTAATTTTTTAATAATATTTTAGTATTGAAGTAGATGTAAGAAATAAATTAATTTAGATGTTCAAATTTGTTTTTTATTAGATAAATACTGAGTACTGAGGTACATTTAGTGGTCTTCTTCATAGGAACCTTTATCTCACCTATTTCTGTTGCTAAATAGCCTTCCACTTCGAAGGTTGAACATCAATGGCAAATTTAGATGCCCTTCTTCTATCTCTAGCCTCATACATACCCCAACCCACTCCCCCTAAACTAAACCAATATATGCTTAGTTTTTTGGGAATTTCATAGGATAGGCTATCAGACTAAACCTAATCCGGTGCTGTAGATACGCACGGTGCATTAATGGTCATATATTAAAGGTAGTATTATCATTTTTAAAATAAGAAAATATTTTATATAATCCTGGCCGCACATTTCCAATAAGAATCTGTTCGTGTTTATTTCTAAGGCCCGTAGCACCGGATGTTGTACCTAATTCACCAATTGAACGGCGTCGTGCTGTTCAATTCTTATCCGAAATATAAGGCAAGTGTAACAAGCACCTTACACACAGACGCATTGTTTTGACTCTTAACTATTGATTAAAGTGCGTGTAATACGTATATTCTCAGATATTGTTTTTATTAAAACTCAATAAATATTGTTTCAAATTCTGTCAATACATCTGACTAAATGAGATACAGCATTAGTCGATTACTACTGAGCGAGTCTGAGGGTGCTAATATACAGTCGGGTTAGGTTGGCCGATTACACAAAGTTCCGCCCTCTTTGAAGATGAGCAAATCGGATTCCATCTGAATATTACTCTTACTCAGGCAACCTAATGACTAACCGACTGTATACTAACGGCCTAATATCTACTTCTGTTTATTTTCTAGTAACAAAATGTTCTCTATGATTTACTGACGTAAGTATAAATAAAAAAATACAATGTTGTTTTTTTATAAATATGGAAATGAAACGTAAAGGTTATCTTATCTGAAATGAAATGTCATCACAAAAAGTAAAACAACCATCGATCAAAACAAATACAATTAAAAAATTATTTAAGTCAAACGCGTTAAATGTGCTTTATTAATTTTGACCAAATAAATACGTTCAGTGAGTTTTAATACTATAAAAGCGTAGACAGGTTATATTTATCAAATTCGCAGTCACGTCATTAATAAAAAGTAACTAACATGAACCGTGAAAGCGAGTTACTACCCAAAATAGTGGTATTAGGATCATGCAGTGTAGACTTTACAACGTATGTATATTTCTTGGTAACTTTATCACAATGAATAACTAGGACGTAGGTATACGTATGATTACATAATTGACATTTTTATTTTTCAGTTATGCTCCCAGGCTCCCGAAACCTGGTGAAACCCTTATTGGCACTAAATTTATAACGAGCTATGGTGGTAAAGGTGCAAATCAGTGCGTAGCGGCCGCAAAATTGGGTGGAAATACATTCATGATATGCAGGCTAGGTTAAAATCACTTTCTTAATCATTATCTCTACTGATTAATTTTTGGCTAATTGCTTTTAAATAAATAACAAAATAGATTTAGTCGCAGAAAATATACCGTAACGAGTATTTTATATTTGTATCAAATGTAAAGGTTATTTCACACAGTAGTGTTGTAAAAAAGTAATAGTTTACTACCCTGTCGGTAAGCAAATACGCGTAGAACTTTCTTTAGTAGTACAGATATTATACTACTACAATTTTACATAGCTATCACAGATATTACAAAATAATTTTATAAAAATATCTTATATGTTCTAAATTACTACTTTAATATTTAATATGTATATTTCATGAAATATGACTAACTTTCCCCCCAAATATCTTATTATTCTTCGTTGTATTATGAACGAGATTGTACCGCATTTGTCACCGCACTATTGTTAACCTTCGTTCATACTAGTGTTATTTTAACGTGCATGTTGGTGAGAGTGAGACGGATAGATTAGGGACTGGCAAATCTTCACATAATTTATAACAACGACGCCGCCGCGCCGCCGCCGTTGTCTGTTCATTTATATCTTTTTAATTACGCAACGAATTTTACTGCAGTTTTCAGCAATATCTATTGCTAGAATGATTCAAGAGAAAGCTCCATATGTATACTATATATATATATAATACATTCATTATACAGTATGAAACAAAACGAGAAATTTAAATATTTGTAATGCACCCGTGCGAAGCAGGCGCGAGTCGTTAATTATGTCTTAAATTTATATAAAATAATGTATAATTATAATTTAACTAGAAAGTGTGATTTTGTTCGTATCTTCTATTTTCTAAATAATTATTTATATTTTTTTTATTGTCAACAGCTAATTTACTTCCCCAAAAATCTAATTACTTGTAGGTACTACAGCCTAAAATGTTCTTTTTCCTGTTCGTTTAATATTAGTATGGTGGCTTGGCTTTATAGCTAGGTGTTTTATATGTTGTAATACTGCGAACACTCGTTTATTCATACATCTTATGTGTACCTTTTATTTTGCTTGACAGGAGATGATCCATGGGGTGATCAATATAAACAACACCTTAAGGATCTTGGAGTTGATGTGACTAATGCTCATATAACTCCTAATATAACTACAGGCATAGCTCAAATATCAGTGGCAGAAAGTGGGGAAAATCAAATAGTCATTGTACCCGGTTCCAATGGTCATTTAAGTAAATTGGACGTAGAAAAGTCCGCTGATCTTATAACGAACGCAGATGTCCTCATTGGCCAATTAGAGACGCCGTTTGAAACTACATTAGAAGCATTTAAATTGAACAAAGGAGTAAGTCTCTGTTGTGTAGATAATAGTAATGAATTCAGAAGTAATACATTTTGTTATATTGTTATTACCTATTTTTAGATAAAAATATTAAATGCAGCACCAGCTCGAAAAGATATTGAAGAAATACTACCTTACTGTTCAATATTATGTGTAAATGAATCTGAGGCGTCCATTCTTACAAATCTTGATGTTGATATTTCGTAAGTGTGATTTTATTCCACTATAGTTTCATTGTCGACTATTCGTCATAATTGCAGTGGTATTTTTAATGGGGCATATGTTACAGAAATGCTACTATTGCTTTGATGAAACTGTTAGAAACCGGCTGTGAAATTGTTATTATTACATTAGGTGAAAAGGGAGCTGTATATTCATCAAAACATGAACCAACACCAATACACGTATTATGCAACCCTGTGACTCCTATTGACACCACGGTACGTAAAATTTGATTCCTCCCTAATATTGTGTAATAAAAATCATAAATAATTGAAACAAATATTTCTAGGGGGCTGGGGATGCATTCGTAGGAGCTCTGGCAACGTTTTTAATGACACAGAAGAACTACCCAATGCATCAAATTATTGGAGCTGCATGTGATGTTGCCACTATATCAGTTACAAAGGAGGGCACACAAACCAGTTACCCTACAAAATTCAATGCTTCTGATAAAGAATATAAATATTTGTATCTGTAAATAAAAAATTATTAAATAAAACAACTGGTATACAAACCATCAAGGTTTTACATTTAATTAAATAATGTATTCTTAGCAAGAAACAAATTATAGAAGGTATCGCTTATTCATTATCTAAAGCCCAAAATAAACATTTTGATATCTTAAACAAACCAATTTTGAATAAATTATTGGTAATCGTTATATTATTATATACTCTTAGACTTAAATAACTAAGTGCCTAATAATTAATTAAACAGTGAAGTTTCTGTAAGTAGGTACCTATAACTATTCTAAGACTAAAAAATTAAGTTATGCAAGTTTTATATAATAGTAAGAAAATTAAAGATACAATATTCATTCACACTACAATCTAAAATATTTTTTACTTCCACAATAACATAACCTTCGTAAGTAAAATGGATTTCGCCGTATGTTATTTTCTTTTGTTTCATCTACTTTACTACCGGCGCAACATTATTATATTAGACATCAAACAAGAAAGGCATCAATCCTAATAATAGTAATATATTAATTGCTCATATCGTATAATCGGTTATCGCGCATGTGTACACGAGTATTGATATTGTATAACTGTCAGTATTACGCAAGTTTTATTTACGCAAATTTGCCGAATACGGATGTCTTAAAATACTCTGGTTGAGAAGTGGCGTATTCTAAGTAGTCGATTTAGATTAAATTTTTAAAATTAAAATTGGAATAGCATAATTTTAAAAACTGGCAATACTTGCCAGACTCGGTTTATGTTGGGTCAGTTTCAGTTATACTTCTTGTAATTTGTTTTATCAAACTTTCTAATATAGATTCAAATTTTAATTAGTAAATCTAATTAAAATGAGATACAACTGATAATGATTCTAAAATTTATTCCGACTGCTATTATTTAAATGAAAAAATTTCGGTCGTGTGTAACAGCCTTTAAATTACATTTTAGCCGAATTAAAATAATCCAAGTTACATAATAATGCTACTCTCAGCGGCCGTTATAAATTTTGGTTTGGTATCACGAGGCGCGTGGGGTATGGTGTTACACCAACAATAGTAGTCACGTTTAGGAGACTGAGATCTGTAACACTTGCCAATTTAATGATAACGAATGAAAGCCTTTACAATGACATTTAGTGTCGAGCAGATGATTATAAGCACTTTTCGAATTTGAAAGAATCTTAGTACATTACACGCAAGAATACGCGTATTCATCGCTGCGTGAAAACGAGACGTGAAACTGCGCCAAGATGTCGCATCGTAAACAGGTATAATAAAAAGTTAAAATAGGAGTGTGGTATCCCTGCATGATTGGACGTCTGTACTACATCATTATGCTGTCTGGTGCAACGATAAGCAGTAATTGGGACTATACCTGTACGTCGGTTGCGATTAGTATTATTCCCCTTGAAAGTATTTCCCGTCGAATTGCAAGAAATATTAATATTTATATGTGTAGGATGATAGTGGCCATTTTTCTTGAAGTTCTACTGAAATTCATGTTACTGTAAAAAATAATTAGTAAAATTTTTTTAATTTAAAATATATTCATCGCGCTTTTTCAACGCATAATACGGTATGATAAAAATTACACATAAATGATAAAATTAATTTACAGTATAAAACGCACGCAGAAACTTCGCAGTGTGAATATAGCCTTACATTTCAATTAGGTAATCGAAATGTTGCCATTATAACTAAAATTAAATTTTAGACGTCAAATTTATTATGTAAATAGAATGGAAACACCAACTATACCATGTATGTTATGCAATTAAAAATATGAAATAGATAAATATACATATACCCTACAAGTTTTGAAGTATACAATTAAAACTAAAACTTTGCCAATAGACAAGAAAGCGGTAAATTACCATGCAGAATACAAAAAAAATATAATACAGCATAATTTTTATTTCTGTATTTATAAATATTGGAAAAAAAATCCATTTGAAGAAAAAAACAATGAAAATATAACTGTAGGTGTAGTACCTGTGACACTACTTTTTTTCTGATGTTTTGGTCAGTCTATACAAAATAGTCAATTTTAGAATTGTTTCAGAAAATAAAAACTAGATTTATCCGCTAGTTTCCTCTGCATCTAATCCACATACATAGAGTAAAAAAATATGGCATCAATTAGAGTATAACCATTGTTTGAAAGTGCTGTTTTTCACAATGTAGCAATAATAAATGTTATTTAATGCATTTACAGTCATTTGAATTGAAATATGATGTTATAAATGTAGAAAATTGGTAGGTCTACCACAATTTTGAATTTTCAGCCTATTTTACATATATTTTAGATTTAGAGACTACAAATTTACATAAATAACAATATTTCCATATAGCATTTTCAATCATTTATAACTATTAGTTGGAATGACACAGCTAGGCATTTTCTGGTAATAAGAGGAGGTAAATAAGCAGATTATCTAGTGTTTAAATATATTGCAGTATAAAATAAAATGCCTATAAGCATTACATTTATTCCATCATGAAGTAGAATGTTTTGGCTGTACTAATGATTTTAACGAGTAATACAGAAAAAATCTGCCTATACTACTATTACCATGAGGTAATATAATCTGAATTTCTGTTGAAAATATGCTTACTGTATGTGATAAATTATACCTTAACTATAATAACAGATTTAGTCTTTAATACTAGATTTTTCATGATGGTTAAACAAATTAATATTTTAATTATCTTTGTGATATAAATAATAAGTATACAGGAATTTTGATATTATGCAAGAAGTATACAAAGTATGTATAAACACAAATATATCAATTATTTACAAAATTCATAATAATGTAAATTATTGTTATAACCAAATTCTCAATAGATTATTCTGCTAATATAAAACATATGGACTGTTTAGTTCAGTGTCATTAACAATTTGCAGCAACACTTGGAGATCCTCTAAACTTGATATAAATTTTGGTGCACCTAAAAATTCAACAGCTTTGCCATCTAATTCAATAACATACTTTAGGTTTTTAGGACAAGTAACTGATTTGGAACATGTTCCATTTATACTCTTTTTAAATATAGCATGAGTAACATCAACTTTAGGCAATAAACCATTTTCTGGTTTATTTTTCTTATCACTCACATTTTCTACTTTAATTTGCTTTTCCTGTACACCATCTAGTTCTTTATTTGTTTTTGATGTCTGTGGAACATCATCTGAGTTCACTGTAGTTTTATTATCGGAATTGTCAGTGTCTGTTTTACTTGTATTTAGTGGTTCTGGCTCCTCACAAACCACTGGTAAATGCTCTTCAATTCCCTTTTGCAAAGCTTCATCCAGTATTGAAGGACTATGTGGATTTTCAATCTCATCTATAACCGGAGCTTGTGGCGCTATAGCTGGCTCCAGGTTATCTTTTGTATTATTTTCAGAGTTATCTGTATCATGAATAGCATTTAACTGGGCTACATCTTCAATTAAATTACTCATATCTGCTGTATCTACCTCCATAGGTGTAGATTTCTGCAATTTAGGATCCGTTTTGCCTAAAAGCATAGCTTCCACATCACTAGACTCTAAGCTTGACTTAAATTCTACAGAACTGCTTTGGTCACTCTGTTTATCATTGTCACTTGAATTGTCATTAAGAATGTCCATTATAGAAGGAAAGTCATCAACTTTATTATTATTAAGACCTGACTTTTTATCCTGTTTAACTTCGGGTGTCTCATTGTACATGAGATCCTCAAGCTCAGCGGCTATTCTATCATACACTTTGTCATCTGTTGGTTCCTCAGGCTTTGGTAAATATTCTATGCACCATTCCTCTGATGGAAGAATGTTCTTGTTGATGGTTGGCAGCAGTGCTGACAATGTTACATGATTCTTCTCTTTTTTACTATTATTATTTGAAGGGTCTACAAATATTATACCATATTGTTTAAATTGTGATGTATTTTTTCTTTTTTGGCCATTATATGGATATATATTTAGGTTGGAATTTCTGTCCTTAACTACTGGTGTTTTCTTTAGTCTATTATTCTCCTTTAATACGTTACTTGATTGTTTCGAAACGGGCGTTTCATTAATTCTAACCTTTTTAGGGCTTAAAAGTTCTTTAACAGGATGCTGATTGTATGCAGTCCTATGAATTAGCACCATACCATTCTCATTGCTTTTCAATCTTTTATTAGAGTTTGGAGATGTTACCTCGAGCTTTTTCGTTTTGGGAGTAGAGTTGCTTTCATACTGAATTTTTACTTTGGTAAATTTTCCTAGTATCCTGGCAAAGTCCATGCGAGTCACAACAACTGCACATTCACGACATTTTCCTTCTCTATACAATCTTTCGATATTTTTAGACATTTTTGGTAGCCTAGATCTTCTAGACTCACGAACTCTTTGAGATATCATCATGACGCCTAAATATTTTGCTGTTAATCACTATATAACTGTTCAATAGAAGGGGGGAACATTAGATATGGTTACATTTCCCGCGCACACTAGTATTTCACTATTTCACAACTTATGGCGTCACCAATAGATATTATGGAATGTCTCATTTACATGCATTCAAAATATTCCTTACTTATTTTGAAAAATAAATATGTTTACAATAAAATAAAATGATTATTTAAAAATGACAGAGTGCAATATTCAATTCTACGCAAAAATGGCGTCAGTTTAGTGATGTTCATGAGGTGTCAATTTAATATCGTACATCGATATCGATATCGATATTTGTTTCCTGTTACAAATTTACAACAAACATATATATAAAAGAAATTAATTCTATAAACAAAGATAAGACAAGTAAAATAAAAATTCTTAGTTTATAAAGAATACTTTAATCAATATTAAAGAATATTTTCTGTACTGCTCTATAAGGGATAAAGACACTTATTAAAATGCATACTGAGTGATAAATCATGCTCTTATTGTTCTTTTAATATGGTCGATCAAATAAATAACGAGTATAATATTTTTTTATATTGGTAAAAGATAACACGGCACTTGACAGACACAAGTCTTCCGTACCTCCAGGCAGGTGAAGGTTGGGGTTTCGGAGCGAATTCCTTTGACCCGATGTCACTCCGGGGGTAACTACCCTCGGGAACTGTGTCTGAGCCCTCATAGGTGGGTATTATATAATTTAAATAACTTACCACAAAAGCTAGAATATACTAACTACAATAAACCACTTCATGTAACTTAAGAATTTGTGAAACATTTGAAATTTTTTATATAGGTACATTTTGCATTATAGATTCTTTTTTTTTAAGTTTATGTATCTGATCATAAGTGGTAATCGTCGCATGTGTACATTAGATTATGTAGCTCGTGCGTATTGACTAGAGTATTGAATATATAGAGTTGCCATTCCGATAATAATTTACTATAATTTTGCAAGAAGCATCATAGGCATGCATACAATAGCATAATAATACCAGTGAATCAAAAAACACAAAAGAGGGCGCTCGAAGCACACCGAGTAAATTAACATGTGGATATAAAAAATTACGTTGTTTTATTACTTATTTATCTGCCATGTTATGGCTTTGTAAATTATAATAGTAAGAATAATGTAACGAGAGTATTGCCATAACCCATCTTCGGTATTTATACCTTAGCTTACAACGTAGCTTGACGCTGATACAAGAATTAAGTACATAATATGAATAATAAGAAAAAATACAAAATAAATATAAATAACTAACAAAAGGCAATACAGAATCTTTATATACTTTGTTGGCAGTGTAATCGCTATAAACAATTTCTTACGGTCAATCCGTTATTTTTCAGATTTCCGTAATGTCATCATATTTTTTTGAATGAATAAATTCTGTAGTATATAATTGTGATGTATATGGGTAGCTTTAAATGATTATAGGTGGCTGCGCTAAGTCTCGTTTGAAGAATATACCAGTGTGCAACTAAACTCAGTGTTTGCTTGTCGCCTGCCTATATCCCTAGATACACAAGAATTATACATACAGATAGATGAAAATAACATTTTAGTTCAAAAGATTAATATTTTTGCACGGAGAAAAACAATAATGTTATAATTACATTAAAATGTTGTAATTTTAAAACCCGACTTGTATCGATATTAGCCCGGCACTAATATACATATTCTCCAATAGCGATAACGCATTTGCTTTGGCTTTGCACGCTGTTTTTGGTCCGCCATAACAAAATGGCCGACAATCTAATATGTCAATAATTGTATGACATGTCATGTTCAAATTTATGACGATACATATGTACTTATAAATTGATTTCCAAGTGTTTTTAACAGTAATTCAACATGTCATGGCAAATGCCACCAGCTGGACCATGGAATCCAGGTATTCCTGTCCAGGGCAATATGCCCAATATGAACATGGGATCCTATACCCCTGATCAATGGTCAGCAATGCAACAACAGAATTGGCAGCAATGGGCCCAGTGGCAGCAGCAATATGCACAATGGCAAAGTCAATACGGAGAGAAGGTCAGTCCTGTTCAAAACAACATTAAACCGGCATCACATAAACAAATTTGTACTACAATAAAACTTCATTGTAGCACAAATTTTGTCGTGGTAGGTTTATTATTAGGATACAAGCTATCTTTTTGCCAATTTTTATCCAAGTCGTAGCAATAGTGTTAAAGTAAACTGAGGAGAATGGTCTGTAATTGTAACATTGGATATCAGTGCTTTTATCACTCTGGGAGTGCCCACCCTATAAATTATTTGCTATGAATATGGTCTCTTGACATTAGTGACTTGATTCTAGCCATAAATTAAGCCTTGAAATTATTAGTTTTGTACACACTGAATGTGTTATGATCGTTATTATGTGATTAATATGTCTCACTTATTCATTAAATGGTCTCCGACAACCTACACCTTAAAAGGCTTAGGTTACTGGAACCCAATGACTAATCAAGACTGTCTGAGAATACAATGATTCTATTGGACATCTATTTATAGTCTTTGACTGATTGTTGCAGATGGACACAGAAAAAAATATGTTTTAATAAGATAACTTATAAATTAAACCTAATGAATTGATTGTCCAATTAAGATTGTAACTACCGAGCTATGTCTTCCTAGTTATTTCTACCTTGTGCCATATTTTTTTTATTGGGCATTTGGGCTACTGTCAGGTACTCAGACCTGAAACACTGTGATCAACATAGACCTATTGCATTCACCCTTTTTCAAAATTTGCTAAAATAAAAAATGTAGATTAAAGTGTTAAAGACAGATACATTCATTGATTCATATTATTTTATATATTACAGTATGAACAGCAAATGCAAGCCATGCAGTCTATGGGTGCATTCATGCCCCCATTGCCACCTGCTGCTGCTCCACCGCCTGCACCACCACCACCAGAAAAACCACCACCGCCTCCACCTCATGAGAACAACCAACCACTCTATGCACAGAAAACCCAACCAAGTCCAGTACCTGCACCAAATAACAACAATGCAGGGCCCACCAGCAATAATAGCGCCAATTCAGGAACAGGTAATAATAAACAATGGTATGGTACAGAAAAGACTGAGCAGCAGACTGCAGTTGACACTGAAGCTTTAAAAAAGCTTGCAGAGGAGCAGAGGCTTTTTGACATTCAATTTCAGAAATGGGAAGAACAGATTGAGAAATGGAAGCAAGAGAATTTGAACCATCCAGACAAGGATGCATACAAAGAGTATCAGCAGAAGTTTGAAGCATGCCGGGCACAACTTATGGAGCGTCGGCAACAGATGATTCAAAAGAAAGCTAAACTGCTTGGCCAGGATCCAACTGCAGCCAATACTGCTGCTACAGTTAATACATCTACTGTAGTACCACCTCCATTGCAGAACACTGGCAAAAATAACTTTAATCAAAGCAATGCACCTAAACAAGATTATAATAATAGGTTAGTTCAAAATTACTCTGATCAAGGAAATGCAAATAATACTTATAATGCATACAACAAACCTCCTCCATCTGGATATAATAGAAATGCGAACAGAAATATAAATTTACAAGACAGATACCAGTATGAGGCAGATAATTATTCTGGCAATGATAACTACCCTGGTGATGACTATTCTGGTAATAACTACTCGGGTAATGATAATTATTCTGCTAATGATGATTATTCTGGCAATGATGATTATTCTCGCAATAATGCTGAGTTTAGAAATAATATTGATGATTATCCTGAAAATAATGATAATTATCGTAATGAAGTAGATAATTCTGCATTCTTGCCTTCAAGTAGTTCCAATGCTGGTATACCAGGGTTAGATTTGGTACCTGAAAAAGAAAAAGTACAACCACAATCACATGAAGTGATCGATATCACTGATGAACCAGTACAAAGACAGCAAATAAAGGCACCTGATTACTCCACTATATCAAAAGGAATAAATAATATACTTGGAGATGAAAAAATTATGAATATACTATCATTAGTTAGAGATCAAAGTATAGTTGGTAATCAAAATACAAATTCTCATAATGTAAATAGTCAAAATATAATTTCTAATAATCAGTGGAACAGGAACACTGGTAATTTTAACCAACAGGTCAATGAGAGACAGATGCCATATAATAGACCAGATTCCAATTACCCAATTCAACATAACCAAGACACAAATTACGCAGATCAAAGAACAGATATTTCTTCACATCAAAATAGGTCATTTGATGATAGAAATGAACGACCCTTTCAAGATCAGTATTATGACAGACATAATCAATATGGTCCTCCTGGGATAGGTCAAAAAAGTGATATTCCACTACAAGACAATGTAACTCAACCAAGACCACTGATGGATCTCCAACCAATGATTGATAATAGGAACATGCAGGATATTAGAAATGTACCAGACAATAGAGGTACATATGGTAATAGAGGCATCCAGGATCATGACATGGTTATGCAAAATAGCAGACACATACAAGATAGAGTTCTGCATGATAACACTAATATTATAAATGAACCTCCTAGACCTAAGTGGGTTGAAGAGCCGTTGTTCCATCCATCCATTATTGTTGAATATGAACACAAACCTTTAAGACTTAAAGGTCAGTTTATTAGTTTTTATAAGAGTAAAATCTATAAACCTCTTTTAATTACTAAATGTTTGTTCACATTTTAAATGTAGAAAAAGTTTGAAAAGTTCATATCGACAGAACAGTTCTATATACGAGAGTAGGTTTGTTAGATGTTATAGGTTTTTTGACGCCATTAAACGTCTAATATCAGAAAAGACTTTTACAATTCGTGTAGGTATTTTTGGGTATCCAAATACGGATATAGATTCGTATATACTTGCATAGGCAAGTAATTTTCTTTACATAATGCTTCAAAAATTACCTTGAATAAAATTAAATAAAATTAAGAAATAATCAGGCAACGGTTTGCTATTAAGTGACTTCATGCGACGCGTATTACTAATTTCATTTATAGTCGCATAATCGTTAGAAACAATGATTTTTATGCAAATCTCTCTTTTTTCTATCCATATATTATTCTAATCAGCGGCGTCTAGTACTAGCTCCACTAGTAATACGTCGATGCTAGTAACAGAAGGCCATCTTCTTTTAACAATTTACACTACACTGTGTCTTAAAAGTAAGACCTGATATTTATATAATTACATTTCATGAAAGACAAATATTAGACCGATCAGAAGCGATGAATACCATCGCTTCGCATCGCCAAATAGATTTTTATTACCTCCTTTGATATAAGAAGTTACCTATAACGGTACAAGTTTTGGTTCTTTCTAGTTTCGCCACCTCGCCGCGTGGCAATATTATAAGCAGAGTTTTTACCCTGATAATAGTGTCGCGAGTTTAGTTGTTAATTATAACGAATGCTTTTTTTAACCTTTCAGCTCGTGATTTCATTGATCCTGTGCATGTGTTTGATTACAATCACAAATCAAAAGATGGTGAGGGTAGAGATGATTTTGATAAGGAACATGAGGATATGTTTACAAGGAAAGCTAGGAGACCCGGTATAGATGATGATTATATGAACTCGGACAGATACGCTAGAGATCAATATTCTAGGGACTATGAGCGGCGGGTGCCAAGGGATTATAGGGATGAATATCGTCCAAGAATACCTCCAAGGAATGAGTTTGATGATAGACGAAAATTCGACGATAGACATGATGACAGGAGGCGCGACGACCGCGACAGAAATAATAGACGAGAGGATATGTATAGAGATAGGGAGAGAGAAAGGGATAGGGAAAGAGATCGGGAGCGGGAGAGAGATCGGGACAGGGAAAGAGATCGCGACAGAGACAGAGATCGGGATAGGGACAGAGATCGCGACAGAGACAGAGAACGAGATAGGGAAAGGGATAAAGATAGAGGACGAGATAGAGACACATTTAGAGATAGAACCAGGGAACTTAGAAGAGAGGATGATAGAAATAGTAGTGATAAAGATCGGAAGAGAGCTCTCAGTAGGGAGAGTGAAGTTAGTGTAAGTTCAGATTCAAAGAAGTTTAAAAATACAGTTAGTAATTCAACCACCCCTGTTGTGATGATTGATGATATACTAGAGATGCCTGGGCGCGCCATGCGGCCCGAGAAAATAGTCATCATACTTAGAGGTAATTACTCATGTTATAAGCGTTGACTAATCTTATTAATATTATAAATGTTTGTTACTCTTTCGTTACGCAAAAACAACTTAACGGATTTTGATGAAACTTTACAGTAATACAGCTTTTACATCAGAATAACACAGGCTATTAATTTCTCGCGGGTGAAATCGCGAGCTCAGCTAGTTATTCATATTATATTACATTTTACTAGCTAACCTGCGCAACGTCGCTTGCCTCACACTTACATTTTATTCATATTTCGCCCAATTTATATATCTTTTTAAATTATGTGTTATTCTGATGTATAAGCTATATTATTGTAAAGTTTCATCAAAATTTGTTAGTAGTTTTTGCATGAAACAGTAACAAATTATCTATCTATCCATTCATATTAACTTTCGCGTTTATAATATTAATTAGAGTCCATTCCACTTCAAAAAATTGTTTGCGATAAACATAAGTTCTAGTACATTCCGTTCTATTTTATTCAAGGTTATTTATTTTATTTACTTATGAGTTGTACGTTTCAGGTCCGCCTGGCAGTGGTAAATCATATTTAGCTAAATTAATTAGAGATAGAGAAGCGGAGCAGGGAGGCACGGCTAGGATTATGTCGATAGACGACTACTTTATGCAGGAAGGAGAGATCGAAGAGAAGGATCCCGCAACAGGCAAAACAGTATGTAACATTTTTTAACGTTACTACGTTTTTTAAGATTTTTTTGTACTTTTTATTATGGTATATAAAAAGTACAAAAAAATCTTTGAACCTCCAATAATAAATATATATGTATATTATTTTAGTATATATGCAATTACTAATTCAAATTCAAAATATCTTTATTCATGTAGGTCTATCAAATTATTAATGTAGGTCTATTACAAATTCTTATGATATGTCAAGTCTACCGTCTGTTCAGAATGATTTCGAGATGAGAAAAACTGACAAGAAACTCAGCTCGTATTCTTTTTGAATAAATGTTGTATATGTTTACAATAATACAGATTCATTTTTGAATTCAAATTTGGGGAAATTGACTAAATAATTATTTGATTTTGAAATAGCATATGCACACCAGCATATGCTATTGCATAAGCAAATAGTTTAATCAGTGTTCGTAACCCGAACTGACCAGTCCCCACAAGCAGCACCCGTTCACGAGTATGACGGATGAGCCAGCCATCATTGCACTCAACCATATTAGAGGGAGCACATTGACCCGACCCACCACGCTGCCACAAGTTTGAACTTATAGCGAGCACTGACAAGTTACTCCACTGCCTCATATATATTATTTACAGCATAGGCTGTACTTATCACAGTTTTCACCTATTACAATATTTAATTTACATTATTTACATGTCATTACTACATATTTAACTGTACTGCTTTACAAAGGGGTATCAACATTTCTGGAGTCACAGTTTTATTCGTATCTAAATTATTATTATTAATGTATGTATTGCGTAATCATCTATATATATATATATATAACTCAAAAGTGACTGACATAGTGATCTATCAACGCACAGCCCAAACCAGTGGGCTGATCGGGCTGAAATTTGGCATGCAGGTAGATGTTATGACGTAAGCATCCGCTAAGAAAGGATTTTGATTAATTCTACCCCCAAGGGGATAAAATAGGGGATGAAAATTTGTATGAAACTTTGTCAATTTTAAACCGATCGGGCTGAGCCTTTGCATGCATTAATCTTCTATGACGTAGGCATCCCCTAAGAAAGGATTTTGATAAATTCCACCCCAAAGGGGATAAATTAACGCGAGCGAAGCCGCGGGCAAATGCTAGTCAAGGAATAAACTTACGCAATACATACATTAATACTATTACTATTAAGTGAGTAAGTTAAGTTTATTACTATAAGGTTAAGTTTATTCCTTGATGGGTACATTGGTATTATACTGTAATACTCACCGAGAGCATTTAATTTTATAAATAAACTAGCTGTTCCCGCGACTTCGTCCGCGTGCAATTTAACAAAATGTTAATTAATCTATTAATTACGTTAGAGAATATTTCTAAAATAAAAGTGGCCTAAGTTACTCCTTATTACATCAGCTATCTGCCAATGAAAATCCCGTCACAATCGGTCCAGCCATTTCAGAGATTAGCTGGAATAAACAGACAGACAAACGAATATTGTAAAAAATATAATTTTTGTGTTTGTACTGTATATATTTATTAAAAAATGGTTATTTCAATATTACAAACAGACACTGCAATTTTATTTATATGTATAGAAAAATAAATTTATAATAACTAAAGCTGTATAAGTAACAAACGATTATAAAAAAAATACGAATATTAATACGTGGACGTTAATTTCAGATAAAGAAACCCTCACTGAAATACGAATATGATAAGGGCAGTGAACAGACATACCTTAATTCATTGAAGAGAGCGTTCAAGAGGACCATCACAGATGGATACTTCACGTTTCTAATATACGACGCTATGAATGAACATTTACGGTGTTACGCGGATGTATGGAATTTCGCGCGACAGAATGGATTCCAGGTACGTACCATATTTACGTATAATAAATCTCATTTCAAAGCTAAATTACGGGTTCATTTTCTACGCAATGTGCAATCATAATTAAATTTCTGATTCTCCTTATTTATCTCTTTCTTTTCCGCTCTATTGAACTTATTTTCTGCCTCATACATGGGTAATTTTCCTGTATCTAAATAATTAATCCAAGTATGTATATGTGTATATATTTATTTATGTGTCGAATGTAAATATGTATGTCTAATAATATGTATTATTTTAAAGTTACTACGTAAATGTTTATAAACTATAATGCGCCGCTTACTAACTTCTCTGTTTGCCTTATGGTTGACTGGTAGAGAACGCCCTTAGGTGTTAAGTTCGCCATATGTACATTTATATATTGTATTTGTGCATTAAAGTTTAAATAAATTATTAAATATTTTGACGGCTTGAGAAGTAAAGTGTCTAGCAGGTAGCACACTTTACTTCCGATGGTCGCTGGTTCCTTGCACGATTCAAACATTTGTATTCATGAGTATGGAATTACAGAAAAAATGTAGTAATTTATATCAATTGTACCCACTACACAAGCTTTGCTTACCGCGTGACACACACGCACATCAGAATAACATATACATCTATGTAAATACACATAAATGGCAAAAGGATTTTTTTTAATTGTTGCAATGTTTAAGTAATTTTTTTTTATTATTTCTGTGTGTTTTATTGTATACTAGGTTTTGCCCGAGTGTACATGTATCATACATATAAACCATCTCTTTGAATCACTCTATCTATTAAAAAACACCGTTTCAAAATCCGTTGCGTAGTTAAAGATTTCAGCATACATAGGGAAGGACAGACAGCGACAGCGACTTTGTTTTGTACTATGTAATGATGATGATGAAGTTCTGTCGTAAGAATTTAAGTTTATTGTAATTGTGAGTGTCGTAGGTTTAAACATCTACCAAATAAATACCATTTCATTTAATTTCAAATAGTCCGGTAGTCGATTGCGATAGAAACAACATGTAATTTCAGGTCTATGTGTGTACATTGGAGTTGGACTCACAAACGTGTCATAAAAGGAACATTCACAATCGTTCACTGGAAGACATACAAGTTATAGCGACACGATTCTTCCCAACACCCGACCATCATATACAACTGGACCCCACGACGTTACTCCAGAGTGCTGCAATCACGGAGGTCCAGATGGAAGATGCTGTTGATGATGTAATCATGGAGGATGTTGATGAAACCGAGGTGAGGGGATGACAATGGATTATAGGCAACATATTGTCTTATAAAGTGTTCTAATTAGGTATCACAAAGATAAATTTATAATATATGTTTTTCAAGAAGGCTATATTAAGGTTTATTAAGGGTTGGCAATGCGCACGTAACACCCCTGGTGTTTCAGGCGTCTATAGGCTACGGTAACCATTTACCATCAGATGGGCCGTATGCTTGTGTGCCACCATAGTAGTATACAAAAAAATATAATATACAGTAAGTAATATTATTCCTATTGATTTAGACAGGTGATTTAGTCGAAATTTTTCCACATGTTCAGATATAACTATAAAAATAATACTTATAGTCCAGATATAACTATTTGCTTAATACTGACAGGGTACAGCTTTATAGAGAAAAAGGTACAAACTAAATACATAATGAAACAATCTATAATATATAAAGCATTTTAATATAAAAGTAAAAACTTCAAATATAATACAAATATGTAAATGCTGGTGAAAATGTTACTTATCTATTTGTAATATTTCTGAGAAAACATTTTAATGTATAACATGTATGTTGGGTTAGAAGTTATTTTATAAATGTATGTAGCTTGTAGCAAATTAATTTTTTATTATGGATTTTTTATTCATACTAAAAAAGAAAGGAAAATATTAACTCATTAACGACCAATCTAAACCATTACGTGAATTCCTGATGAATTTGAAATATTGCATTTACTTCATAGAATTGTTTTGTCTTAAGGCAACGAGCACGTGATCCTGGTGTTTCAGGGGTCTATAGGCTACGGTAACCATTTACCATCAGACCGACCGTATGCTTGATTACTTTTATATAAAAATGCAAGATAACATAGTCACGCGGGTAAAGCCGCGGCAAACTGCTAGATATTTTATATAATGTTTAAATTTGTATTCTTATATTTCCCCCGGATTGTCCCCACATATGTTGTATGTAGTTAGGGTAGGGCTAATAAATTTTATTGCAGCTTCGTTACTAAACTTGTAAGATGGTCGTCGATCGCAGGTGGAAAGCGTTTTTACTTCGAAGTGGGAGCGAATGGACGACGTCGCCCAACTAGGTAGGTTATCGATGGGATTGTAATCGCATTATTTATTGTCATATTATTACAATACATCATCTATACGTGTTTATATTAAGTGGGTATTAGTCGGACAAATCAAGATGGCGCACATGAAGAACATAAAAAAAACAAAAATTCAAAAAATCTATAATCATGAAGGTCTATTACTGACTCTATTACTTACAGTTGTAATTTTATATTTATATAGATAAATAACAATATAATGAAAATACTTGGAAAAGGAGATTTATTTGAAGAATTATTAGAAAGTAAAGAAAACAAAATTGTACCAGAACAGAACTATAAGTTTAAATACAAATTTAGTATGCAAATATTTTTATAAAATTATTTATTAGTGTTTTAACTATGGTCTATGTCTGCCTATTCAAATTCAAAATATCTTTATTAATGTAGCTCTATTACAGACTCTTATGATATGTCAAATCTATCGTCAGTTCGGAATGATTTCGAGATGAGAAGATCTGACAAGAAACTCAGCTCGTATTCTTTTCCAATAGTTTCAAATAATCGTTATCATTAGCCACCTTTACACGTACGCTTTTTAAAATTGCGTGTAGACAAAGAGAACGATACTGAACGTGCGCGCCGTCAGTGAGCGCAGTCCCACTTTCTTCAATTGTGCGTGCTTTAGCGTCTCTTTGTAATAATTAATTGTTATTGCTAAAAACACACAGTCTGAGAATATTACGTAAACTATTTGTTATATCCCTAAGTTATAAGGGTAGTATAAAAAAAAATGTGTTTTGAATAATTTGTTTATAATTTTTTTTTGTATGATTCAGCATTAAAAAATATACATATAAAATACATATATATATATATATATACAACCCCAAATTTTTAACTTTCCACCATCAACATCTATTTTTTAATAGTGATATCAATTTGTATGGCAAAACAACATTTGCCGGGACTTAGTATTTTTCTATTATGGTAATAAGAGGTGCAGAATATTAAAACTAATACATCCACCACCTTTTGTCTTTTCTTCTCTACCTAAAGATTGTCTGGATCGTTGTCGAGATCGTTTAAGCGATAAAACCGCCATTTTTACCGCCTATATATTTTAAATATTCTGTTTTATTTTGTATTTTTTTTATTAATGATTTTTTTGGCCAACATAACTCATTAATACGTAATAACCACCAAAACCCATATAAACAATTTATCTGAATGTATTGGTGCATTGTTCCAGCCCGGCTCGACGGGACCAACAAACCGCTTCGCTCATCGCATCTCTCAATGGAAGACTACCTACAATTAGACGACTGGAAACCCAATGTTGCTAAACCTGGGAAAAAAACTGTAAGTATATATCTAATTTTTAGACTATTTTTTCCACTATTGCATATAAATCGAGTGATATTAAAGATTCTACATTCCGATATGGTTGTGGAAATGTACTAATTAATTTATTGTGAGCCAAAACTTCTATTTGGAAGTTTTTAGTGCGTTGGCATATAAATTTACATTTAATAAAGGTGGGTAATACCTTTTATATTATATTTAATATATTATTACGGCGATGTGTACACAACAATCGTTATACCATTCGACTACGATGCGTTTGACTAAAAAAACTAAGGTCACTTATCTCGTCGATTTACCGTTTTTATTTACATCAAAATAACCACATTGTGACAACAATTTCATACAATTTTACAACCATATTCAGTATTTTTTATTGAACGTTTTTCCGTTTTAAAATTTACAAGAATTTCGTTTCAATCTACCGAAACGATTCGGTAACCTATTCGGTTTTTTATTTCAATAAAGGTGAGTTAACATTGTTTGAAGTGCCGAGTTGGCAGTGGGTTTCATCATATTGTAATTGAAACAGGTACGCTGGGCCGACATTGAAGAAGGAAGACAGCAGGAGAAGATGCGTGCCATCGGTTTTGTAGTTGGCCAAACGGATTGGAACCGTATGACGGACCCCACTATGGGGTCTAGCGCTCTCACTCAGACAAAATACATAGAAAGAGTGAGGCGCACTTAGACAGTATTCTATTAGCTGCCTTTACACGTGCGTATAGACTTTCACGCAGGAAAGAATGTACATGTAAATAAAGAGAACGAGAAAGAGCACGCGTCATTAGTGAGCACATTCCCGCGCCCTTTAATCGTGCGTGCTTTAGAGCGTTTTTTTTAATAATTAATTATCATTCCAAAATTTGACTATGGATCAAAGACATAATTATAGAGTTATTGATGATTCATAAACGGGTCTTGGGAAATGAAATTATAGTATAAAAAAAATTAAAAGAAAGTGAGATGATATGATACAAACGCACAGTCAGGCGCGAAAGAGTGGACACAAAAAATAGTATAATGCAATCATTTTCTACACAGTAAGCCCATGTCTCGGGGAGCTGGTCCTATACCAAACGCCTTATATTTCTCCAAACACACGCATAGCTCTGTAGGTGTTCGTATATTGTACTAAATTTACTAAGAATCTTAAAAAAAAATATACTCACGATTACAGGCGCTCTTTCCCGCGCTGAATCGCGCGCGATAGATCGTGTCGTGTAAAGGCTGCATATTCAATTGTCTTCACTGAGCGGCGTAATATTAATATTAATACGTAGGATTGCCACTATATTATGAATGGGAATAATAAGTGTTTAGAAAAATAAATAACCCTGGACAATTAACACAGTGCCATCTAGTCCTACGATAAGCAGAGCTAGATATTTTTTTTTGTAAATACATTCGAAACATACATAGAAAACACCCAGACCGATACAAACAATCATACTCATGAATACAAATCTTTGCACCATTCAAGAAATCGAACCCGCGACGATCGGAATTAAAGTGGTATGCTAAACCTCTAGATTACCCAGGCCGTCAATGTATAACAATGATTATAGGTAAAGAAATAGAAGTACAATTAATTATAAATTTTTAAAATAATTACAAAATTTGTATCTATGCACAGAAGTGGTAATCTTATTAGAGACAATTTTAATAAATATGTAATGAATATTTATTTATTTATTAAAACTAATGCATATATGCACGAATAAAGGTGCACGTGGCTGACTTAACACCTAGAGGCATTTTCTCCCAGTATATCACAAACAAATGAATACACTCATTGTGAAACATATGTTATTACTATATAACTATATTTTGAAGAGTACACATACATTATTTATATATATACATATATACACATTTACAAATTAAAATATTTCTTTAGTGAATTAAATTGATTTACTGAAATAAAATTTAACGCGTAAATGAACATTTCCTAAGAGTAATCTTATTCAGTAACTTTAAATGGCATGAGTGAAATGTTGTAAATAGTGGCAACCCTAATATTTTGTTTATTGTTTCACAAGTGAATAGTAGTACAAGGTAAAATGGAATCTAAAAAGCTTTTACATTGGAATATTGTATAGACATACTGATTTAGTTCTCGTGGACCTACACTCTTGTATTTAAAAAAAATAAAGACTTGAATTTATTATTTGATATAAAATTTTTATATCTTTTTTTTTATTGTTAACTCTAAAATTTGTGATAAAAATATCCCATGATCATATTCTTTCCTCATCCTGACAAAAAACAATCCTTGAATTAATAAAAAAAAAACAGTAAGATTTTGTAGATTATTTAAAAACGAAATATCATATTAAGAGTGTTTAAAATGGATCACTGGATGGATCGATGCGTATTGCATTGCTTATTAAACGAAAAATAATATCGATTAAAAAAAATATATATTTACTTGCTAAAATATAAACATAATTAAAATCGTTGGAAAAAATATCCCGAAACTTGAAAACAAAATGTGATGCTATAAATGCTTGTCAGTGGTAGATTGTGATAGGTGGTGATTATTATAAGTTATGTATAACTTGTACTATGATTAATATTTTATACCTATAAGTTGAAAAAATCAATGAACATTCGTATAGATTTTGTATAAACATATGCTTTATTTTCATATAAAACTGAGCGTATTCGTTGTTTAAAATAGCTTTTATAATAAACAAAAAAAAATCAAATATCAATAAGATCAAAATTTTGTTCATCACAATATTTTTTTCAATCATTAAAAAGTACCTAGATATACAAAATGGCGTCGATCATTGTTTATTCGAATTTTTCGTTATCTTATAATGTTAATTACTTTATTAATCAGTTCCACGTTTCTATTCAGACAAGGGGTAAATAATAGGTATATATAGTAGTCATAAATAATTTAGTTTGGTTTTAGATCTGTTATTAATTCCATAAATATTATTTCAATTACAAATAATTAAAACTATTTCAGAATTGCACAGTATTGTGAAAGTGTCAGATTAGAGAAAATGAATATATTAAATCGTTAAGAGTAGTTAGGTACCTATTTCGTCATTTATTATAAAGGCAAAGGAATAAAACAGTTGAATACCTAAAATTGGTTTATTACATGTTAACTGTTTGAGGAAGAAGGGGCATAGATTTTATGTACATTAATATCTATTAGTCTTAAATGTTTAATATACGTTCGTTACTAGATACATTTGTATTTTTTTATCAATAAATCATTTTATTTTGTGATTGTAGGTACACAAAATATGATGATTAATTACAATTTCATTTTGTAAATCTTTTACAGTACCGACACAGATTACATTTTCACGGCAGTGAAATTGTATATAAATAGGCATACGTAATAAATAAACTTTTAAATTTATATTCGTTGTTTTATTTAATCCTCTTAGGTCTTAATGTTCGTCCATAGCGCTTGTATCGAAAACCGTTAAATTTGAATTGCCGTGTTTTTTAAAAGCGCCCGTGTATGTACCCCATGATTTCGGTGGGTCGGCGGTATGTACCTTCATTAAATTATTTTCATTGTCATCAATCATGTTTGCATTATTAGTTCTATTTTCCGTGTTTACATGTTCGCGAGTTTCTTTACTTGACGTGATACCGGACTTATCGAGTTTCTGGATATCGTTTTTCTTCAAAATGGTTTCGCCCTCCCTTCCCGCAGTCATGATCATGATTTGTGGGGTGCTCATGTCTGTCATATGGTCTTTTATGCACTGTTGGAGAATGTGCAGGAAAAACAGAAACGCCAACAAAGTTAGTGCAGACATGGCAGCGTTGCTCTTTTGTCCGCCACCGCCGCTGCCGTAGTTGCTGTAATGATAAAAAACCGTTTCTTACATTTTTTTTTAAATTTACATATGCCGGTTTGTAATTTTTTTAACGAAAATATTTTACACTTTTTATCCATTCACAATTTTTGGGTGGAAGGTCCATTTTTTTTAACACGGTAATTTATTTTAAATTATATTAGTCCCATTTGGGGCGAATTTAAATCTTGGAGGAGTATTTAAAAAAAAAATAGTACAACAAGCAAATTGTACAAACTCCTGGTTTGTACGAATCCTTGTTCGAAATTGAGTTGTACGAATCCGAAATCCTGGTTTGGACGAATTTGAATGCTGGATGATTATTTTAAAAATATGCACAAACTACTGTAGTCCCAATTGGGACGACTTTTAATGCTGGAGGATTATCTTAAAAATATGCACAAACTACTGTAGTCCCAGTTGGGACGACTTTTAATGCTGGAGGATTATCTTAAAAATATGCACAAACTACTGTAGTCCCAATTGGGACGACTTTTAATGCTGGAGGATTATCTTAAAAATATGCACAACTTTATCGTAGTCTCTGTTGGGACCAATATTAATACTGGAGCATTATTTTAAATATCATTACAAACTCGTATCTACTGTGGTCCTTTTTGGACTAATTTTAATGTTGGAGTATTATATAAAAATAAGTACAAATTCTACTGTAGGTACTTTTACTTTCCTTCTTGTTTATACTTTTTCTACATTCTTTATCCTGTACTAGACCTGTCCCGGCTTTGGATACATTACAAATCTTTAAATTTCTCGGCTTGTTCACTACTATTATATATAAGCATGTATTATTATACTTATAAACCTTCCTCTAGAATCACTATATCTAACCACATTACAATCCTTTGCATAATTTTAAAGATGCAAGCGAACAGAAGAAGAACAGTATATAATGAATTCTGTGAAAAATTTATCCTCATATTCCTCCAGCCATTTTATGTGATACGTTAACATACGAACGAATAAATTTGCGTTTGCGAATAAATCGTGTAAAGATAAAAAAGATAAAGATGAAAGTTTATTTGGTGAAATTGAATTGGATCTACCACTTATATTTTTTACTCATACAATTCAAAGAATTTTTGCTGTATTTGGATATCTTAGCTCTATACTTTGTATAATTATAGAACTGATTACATATTTCCAATTTACATAACTTACTGCTTGGACGCGGCTTCATGTCCCTGATGAGAGCCAGGAGGCTCGTACGCGTAGTATACCTCTTGATCATGCACTGGGCCGTACTCCGTGAACCTGTGAACATCATATCATCACACTTTAAAAGGTCCAGTTAAGGAGTGACTAATTGTTATCTATTGATTTGTTATCTATATTTCCATCCCCAAAGAGTCAGTCAGTTTATAAATTGCCACACAAAGGTTTTTGGTGTTGATCATATTCAAATTCATGACAATTTTTATGATAATGATCGAACACATCGTTACAGTGAAGCTGTAAAGGTCAACTGGGGCCAACGACATTATAGTAATCGAAATAAATAAATAAAAAATCTTATTAATATTAAAGTTTGTGACTATGGATGGATGGATGTTTATTCCTCTTTCACACAAAAACTATTGAACGGATTTTAATGCAACTTTACAGTAATATATCGTATACATCAGAATAAACATTAATATATGGTTAAAATTTAAAAAGATATGTAAATTGGGCGAAATATAATAATAAATGTCAAGTGTGAATCAGACGAAGTAGCGCGGGTCAGCTAGTAAATAATAACTATTTTTTATAAAATTATTCATATATACCAACCAAATATATTGCTATATTTCTCGGCCGTGTGTGTGTGTAAAAACTCGAAAATTACAAAAGAAACCATATTTCGTACTTCTATGTCAATTAGAGGGTAGAGTTTAACCTTTTTCAAACAGGAACGCTTAGGAAATTACAGGATTCTCAAGATCCCCTTGAATTAAAAAAAAGTTAAATCGCTGTACAAGGGGTTTGCGGGCCATAGGTTAAGAACACTGGTATAGGGGTAGCGACCCCATATTGAGGAGCTATGCACTAACCTGTCGGTGATGAGTTTCGTCCCTGTTCCCATATGTGACAGTAACTTTTCCAAAGTCATTGTGTACGTACTCTCAAGCACGAATGTCAAGGTTTGAATGACGGGTGCGCGAGAGCATAAGTGCGCTATTACCACGCTCTACTTGTTCTTACACGGGATCTGGCGTAGCGGTTTTCACCATAAATGTATTTTTAACCGACATCCAAAAAGATCCACATATTTATAAATATATTTGAAGAAAAAAATCGACGTAAAATGGTCAGTCTGTGAGTGTTTTATGGGATACACTTTGGCGAGTTTGCACAGGACCAGCAATATTGGATCTTACGTTCCCCTTTTTATCGCCGAACTACACAACGAACACTAGGACTTCATCCGTACGTCGTGGAAATTCCACACATTCGCACTGAGCGGTTCGCGTCGTCTTTTCTAACACGCACTGCCAAAGAGTGGAGCACACTTCCAGCTTTCGTGTTCCTGGAGAAAAACAACCCCGGAATCTTTAAGTCTATGGTAAATAGATTTATTCTGGGTAAGCTAATCGCTTACGCTTACTGGGTACGCTTAATCCTAGGTATTGCTATCATTTACCATCAGATGACGTAAGACCAAGAGCCACGCGTGCGCATTGGTGTTCCGTCTTTGTACCACATTTTACGCAAATTGAACTTTATCATAAAAAGGGGTATAAAGATTTTGCTTAACGTAATAATATCATGATAGTATAAACTTAGGCGTCAACTGCGACCAGTTGCATTTTTTATTTTACCTTGATTATTAAAAATTTCAAATTATAGACAAACCTTGATAGATCAAGTAAGTTAAGACAAACCTCTTTATAGATTAAACTTACGGACTATTATTATTCTGTTTGACAGTTTATTAGATAAAAAACTTTATCATCTGTGTTGATCAATGTATCTCTGAGATGCGTAACCGCTATACGTCACGCCTTATGCGTTATCAGTCTTGACGTCAGTGACAACGGATAAGTTACTGTTTTATATTCTTTACTAGTTGTAGCTTAGTGCATCGTATCGCGTTATATATGATTGTTTTTTCATTTAAGCTATTCACTACATGTATATCAGATGAAATCAAGATACGTTTAGTCTATTTGTTTTCATCGTCATAATCGTCTGGAAAAATCTTCTAGAGCGTCCCCTCGTCAGAGGGTTGAGTGGATGCGATGTGTGGGGTTCTTACCCATTAAAAAACCACACGGTCTACCTACGAGCGCCATTACCGGAGCCGCGAGGTCGCGTTAATTTCTACCACGACTTCGACAGCGTTGTAGATGGTGACCACCCTGTAGAAGGTGTGAGATTCGTTTAGTCTAGTTTAAACGTATACCAGATAGTATGCAGTTTTCACTAAAAATATAATTTTCATTTAATTATATTTGTTTCTCTTCTTTTGAATACATTAGAGGAAGTATGAAAATGGCGCCGGTGTCGGAGAGGTAATCGTTTGTCGGGGTATGGACATGTAATGCGTAGGAATGAAGATAATATTTTAAGGAAGGTGTTACATATGAATGTGGATGAATGTGTGTGGTTATAAGGGCAGAGGAAGGCCGAAAAAGAGATGGATGGACTGAAATGAAATGAAATAATTTATTTACGACATATTGGTACAGTATTATAATTAATATGATGTTACATGTAATTGATTGATCAGCAATATTTACCATACAGGCATGCAAATTACGTGAAGGTGTTTGTGTTACTTAAACATTCTTGGACACTGTAAAAATTACCAAGTAACAGCCAATTCTTTAGCTTGCGTTTGAATAACGTATAATATCTCAGTTCTTTAATCTCTCTTGGAAGATTGTTGTACACTTTGATTGCCATACAGTATACATTTCACTTATATAAGTCTAATGTGTCTACTGTTGATATGGTAAGAAAAGGATTAAATAACGAGATGAATTTGAACAGGGATGAATGGAAGAGAAATCATTACGCCGACCACAAATACATGGGATAAGGAAGAAGCAGATGATAGAGTGTTGTTTTCGATGATGATTTGTTTCTCTTCTGTTATGTTTAATTTCTCATTCGATGATGTTTATTAATTCAGCCGCGATTTGATACGGCAAAAGTTTTAATTGTTTAATGTGTTTCTCTCTAGAGAATGCTAAGGTAAATGTACTATAGTAACCTCCTCTTAAAATGTGTAAGATAAAAAAATATATAGAATTAGTATTTATGTGTTTAGATTTAAAGGAATATAGGTAGTAACATAAAAGGGTTTAGAAGCATGAGGTATTAGTTCTCAGGAATGGTAAAGCATGAATGGTACTCGGTCACGTGACGATATGTGTGTTTATGTATATATACAACGGTTACTGCCGGCTGTCAGATAGTTTGCCATTAATTAATGAAAATATATACTGTTCATACTGTTCATATATATGCTGTTTATACTGTTCATATATATACTGTTTATACTGTTCATATATTATATAAGGGTTTGTTACACCAGGAGTAACACCAGTTGCTGATGAACTTTCCTGCGCTAACGGTTTACGCTCTCCTGGCACCAGTAGAGGATTACAAGTTGATGAGGTCAGGTCAGTTAACCCATCGTGGCAAATGCACCAGGAATTTATCATGATAGTTTCCAGGAGAACCGGGTGGAGGTTAACCTGACATGTTATATTGCTAGTAATGTGTTTATTAGTCCACATTACAAACAATTTCCTTTCTCTCTATTTATAGGCGTTGTCATCCCATAAGATAGAACAGTTTATGCAATGTTCTATCAATCATCATTAATCAGAAATAAAAAATATAAGTAAATAACTCTGGTCAATTAACACAGCGCCATCTAGTCCTACGATAAGCAGAGCTTGTTTTATGGCTACTATATAACTGATAAAGATACATAGATATTTTTTTTGTAAATACATACATAATATACATAGATAACAACCAGACCGATACAAACAATCATACTCATGAAAACAGATCCACCGTGCGAGGAATCGAAACCTCGATCCTCGAAAGTAAAGCGGTGTGCTCAACCGCCAGACCACCAAGGCCGTAATATAAAATAAATGCAGGAAATAAAAACATAACAAATATTAAAAAATATTTCTATTTATTTTACAACAATCACAATCACACAGGACGTCCTCAGACACACACACACATAAAATATACAATACTAACTATTATGTGATACAAACAGTTAGTTATATCACACACAATTATTTTTACATCAGTCGTTAATTTTACATTGAAATTGGCGGAATGTTAACTCTTATTCGTAAAAACCATTAAACATCTATTAAACCTATTTTAGCTTTCATATATTTTGTCCTTTTTTTTCCAGCCATTTTCTTCATTTGAAAGAAAGGGGCAAAATTTTATAATAGTTAAAATGGGTTTGTAGGTTTCAGTATTTAGAAATAAGGAGTAATTGTTTATATCTACAATACAAACATACCAATTATTTTATAATAATGGATTTGGAAGCATTCACTGGACGGGAGCGTTTGGATTGGGTATGTCTTTGTTTTCCTACTTATTAACTTCTAGAATAAGTTAAATAAATAAATAATTTAAATAAATTAATAGAACACTATTTTCGACGTGCTTTCGACCGATGGGATATGTTTTGAGCACAATACACCCCGATAAGGCACCATACAGAATTTTACAATTGTGTACCTAATTACATTGTTTTTAAATGAAATTTAAAATGTACGCCAAAATGTTGACTAATGTAGTTCACGCAATGTTCATACTATCAAACCACTTGAAAGATGTACATATTTTGGATCGAATTTTAATAATTTCGTAGCAGACGCAGTGTCTCCGATAATTCTTCACTGTATGCTATTCGTACTGGATACGAGTTTTGTAAGTTGTTTGCGCCCTTAGACTTCGTTGCACTGGAGGTACATTTGACGGCAGTCCACACCGGAGCGGCCACGGCGACCCGCCTCGGTGAACTCCTCGAAAGCACCACCAGATTGCCTTTCCATCACGAAGCTTGCTGCATAACTGTAAAATATATTTTGTTGAGATTCCATGATTTCTATGAGCTCTTTTTTAGTAAACCGCCTAACTAACAAAAGGGTAATAAAGAACAAAAAAAGCAATGGAGATACTTACGTTCCAAGTTGGCAGAAGACGCTTTTAGGGCCAATATCAGAAGAACATTCAATGTTTGCGTCGCAAATATATTTCTGCAGACATCTGTCATCGTTCGTTCCAAAGGATTTCACGTAGGTCTTCAGCATGGCGATACCGGCCAGAGCAGCATCGCTGACTGAGTCCTTGCGTCCCATAGATCGAGCGGTCAGCGATCGATGAGAGAATGAGGTCTTCAAAGCGTCCAGGAGGTTCACAACGATGTTGATGAACTGTAGAAGGAAATGATATTGAAATAGAATAATCATAACTGGAAATTGTATGAAATCTTCGAAAAATAAGAAAACAAAGCAATTTGGAAATTTTAAGAGTTACCTGACGGAATTATTTATTACATCATTATATTAAAAAGGAGGGGATATGGGTCGCGTACCTCTCCAGCCTGCTTTGCCATGGAGGCGACTTGGTCGGGATCTTTTGCACCGAGCACCGTCGACAGTACCGCAGCCAATATACCCTGAAGCAAGCGAGAAGCGACACCGTATCCGTAACCATACTTTACTATTTACACTCCAAACAATGGGAATACCTCAACGACCATGCGTTCCTGATATATTATAAATTCATTGAGATGATTCTATGAGGTGATCCCAGGATGTGAAGCAATTATTATTTGATGTGAATTAAGGTTTCTATCAACTACTACATGGATTTAAAAATATTTGTTACTGTGAGGGTAATCCGCGAGGTGCTTTACACTATCGGAGTGACAATTTATTCTAACTATGTATATTGCTACAGAAATGATTGTTAGTAGATCAGTATGGATAAATAAGATGCCATTTTAATTCTCCAGTTTGTACATAGTATTGTGAAAATGTTTTTATTAGATATAAGTAGGAAGTGTTTATGATGAAGATTCTAGATGGCATGTATCGATACATGCAATATGTGGTTTAGAGGTATGAGGTCAGTACCTGCATGGGCGAGGATCCATTGTCGACCTTGTCGATACCGTCACTGGATGCGCCTCCTCCAAGGATTGCCGTCAGGATCTTGAGGCCCATAGAGAGGAGATTTGCCCAGGGGGAGGAGGATGCGACGTCGGTGTCCAAGTTGTCGCTCTTGTTGGGTCCAGTGTTTCCGGGGTTGAAAAGCATTTGCATTATCATTCCTGGAATTTAGATATATAAGTAATTAATGTACATTTGATTCACATTGCGTATTTACCATATTACATATATTAGTGTGATTATTACTAAAAAAAAATATTTTATAAATTAAAGAACGTCGTCCAGCATGGAATTTTAACAGTATATTTTACTTTTTGACATGAAGGTGACAATTTTTACTTTTCTGCGACTCCCCTATATGAAAACTAATGTACGAGTTACCCTTTCTAACCCCAAAGCTAAAAAGAGCCTAACGGTTGTATTGAGGAGTCCGTCAGGTCTTATCACATAACAAAATTTACACTTTATTACCATAGTTGTGCACGACGCACCTTTTTATATATTATTTGTTTATTTTCTATGATTTTATATATAGTAGATAAATATTATACAGTAGTCTGTATAATACTTTTTTATCTGCTATTCTTCATGTACGTAATAAAATACTATTTTCACCAAAAATCCATCGTTTCTCCATAATAATATTTAACAGCATAACAATACATCATGTACAGTCCCTTCGATTACAATAGTCGAAATTATAATTTGGTAAACTCACCAAGCATGTTAGACCATGAGAATCCACCGTCAGATATAGAGTTGGTTTGTATGTCGTCGATATCATCCAATGCGACTTTCTTCAAGGCATTTGGCTTCTCAGCGAACTTGCGCTCCTGAGCGACTTCCTGTGGCAACGAATTACTGTAGTACTGTGGTTGATTTTGTTGCCTAACGTTGCTTGTTGCCTGAAATCAACATATCAATATTAACTTTAAAATAATTTTTAAAGTTCATTGGAAATAATACTTTATTAACATTACTCAAGGTAAGTATTATTTTAAATTATTTAGCACCTGTGAGATAAGCGGGAGATGCTGTTGTGGATATGCTATCGTGTGGAGAACCATCGACGAACTGATCAGCGCTACAAGCGCCCAGCCTCCGACCTTTGGATGCATCCTGTTCAAAAAGAAAATCTTCGTAAGTAACTTGATTGGTTAAAATTTGAGGGGTAAGAAAGTTTTATTATAAGAACCAATTTGGCAATTTAATATTAATATTCTTAAAGGGATGCTTAGACTAATAGCCGAAAATTATCGACTAGATTTTCCACGGACTCAATTCCATTAATGGTCGTCGATGTTAGGGAATCTTTACCACCTCATAACTTTTAGTTGCGTAAATGAGTTATGCGATGCAATTGCTTTTTGATTTATAGTGAACTTTTTGATTTAAAATATCTATTACGACATAAAACATTTACATATTTATTATACAATGATCCGAGTGCATCCATCGTGAAGCTTTATTTACTTAAAATAAACACACTTTCTTTTAATTTAATTGTGCTCTCGCGCACTGGACGTCGATTAGAAAGTGTTCTGATGAGTGATTCTCGCAAATTGATCGCCTAGCTTCGGAGTTGTTGAGAAAGTGGCTCGCGCGTTGCCCACGATGCATTTTTAGAGGATGTCAAGTCTAATTAGAGGAGTCTGTTAGAGTAATAGCTCGAGTGGTTATTACAGCTCGAATGGTAAACCAATTATGTGTGGCCATTATGTTGTAATTTTGTTGTTTCGTGAGAGATTTTTATAACTGCGTTATTTTTAAATGACATACTTAATGTAGAGATATGTGGATTGATATTTGCATAGTCCCGTTTATATCGATGTCATGAGGCAGGTCCATCGATCCGGTATAGAAGTATGCGAGCCGTGAGTTCGTCCGGCCTACTTGCAGTAGGTGACCCGGTCTTTACTAACTGTAGTTCGGATGTCACCTCTCGCACCTGTCTTAATAAGGCGCTAGTTATATAAATTGACGTAAATTTTATTCCACCGTTAGTCACAAATGTTTATGGGCGGTACACTTTCTACGACCAATATAAACGAACGATTAACACCTGCTGCTTCGTCTTCTGCGTAACAATTGTTGCGTCACGACTTTGGTTCCTTGAATGCGTGAATGGAAAGAGCTTTACGAAAACATATCTTTCTTTATTGTTAGTACTAACAAATCATTTCGATAAGTGAATGTTTTCTTTTTGAAAATGTATCGTATTTATTTTTTCCTATCTACATAAATAACACAAGAACTTACATTGATAGCAAACCGCCTTCGGTGCCGCACTACATTTTGTTCATTCGAGTCTAACGTCTCGTTTTTTTGACAACCATTTCATGTAGAAAGTTTGACTCGAAATTAACGAATTGTTAGTAGCAAGTAAGTGCTTTTCCCTTTAGGGCAAAAAATGAGGGCGCAAAGTGCGGTCGGTATCTTTTTAAACGTATGTTTCTAATTTGTACAGTTTACTTGTAATTCAGAAGAAAATTACATGTTATGAGCGCGTGGGCACGGCGACTCTGTGGTACTACTAGTCACAGTGACAGCACGACCGTCGAGATTCTTTCCGGTGAAATTTGTCGCTGTCGAGACCAGAGAGCTGCTATTGCTTATGTTTTATGTATGCTTTGTTGCTCGGTAAAACGATGTCTACACTGCCATTTTACATAAAGGCGTTCCACAAAGCACTTCCGAATGTCATGCATTGCGACAATTGTCTAACAATTACATGATATATAAAGACGCTCATTTTGTAGAGAAAGCAGGAAGTAGTTTGGAGAGGTGATTGGAAAACAATACCGTTTATTTTGTCTCGTTCTTAATAGTGTTGTGTTTCACTATTTACTTTCTATGTTCTGTTGGTTATCACGCGATGAACGTTAATGCGATGCGGTTTCATTAAATGAAGGGCAAATTATTGACGTCTATTCGCGGGGTGAAGTGGCATCGACCGGTTGACCCAGTGACCCTGCGCCGGCGCAGCGGCTTGCTGCATCGCGGGAAACCTCACTTTCGATGAACGCGGATCTTGATGTCCCAGTCTCATATCACGTTAAATATATCTACATACGGTTTTGTGTACAACAAGTTTTGTGTTCCATCCATCCATTTTTATAAGAACTTTTCAGTTTCCTTTGACTATTTAAACTTTTACGTAAAAATTCGTAAATATACTTTGCACGTCGGCTTTTAATTTGCGTTAAATATGCCATCTGAACGTAAAGAACTCTTTTGGTTCCTTGGACTATGTAAACTTCTATGAAAGTTTTAATAAAGATGCTTGGCAAGTCGGCAAGAAGAACATTATTTGATTAATGGATGTTTCATTTAATGGAATTCATTTCATTTTATAAGAACTTTTTTGGTTCCTTGGACTATGTATAGTTCTACGTTAGTTTTAATAACCATACTTGGCATGTCAGTATGTAATTTATTTATACATAATTTATACGGTACTTATTATACGTTGTCTTTTATATTATGCACATTAGACAGTGCTTGCTATCATGTATTATGAACGTGAAAGTGGATTTCTTTGTTACCTTTTAACAAAGTAGTTCAATTGATCAACATTTGACTAATATCGTTAAATCTTTCGAGTTGAAGCTTGAATTTAAGCACACTGATAATATTAATCAGTTAAGTTATTTCTAAAAAGTAACCAAAAAAAAGTTTAATAATAAACAGCAAAATTTTGTTTACACAATATACCTATTGATAAATAAATACACAAACTATGTTAGTTACTAGTACCAGTAGTTTATTTTTCACTATTCAGTAAGCACTAGCTATTATAATATAACAATATATTGGTATATATCACTAAAGTTTGGTAGTTTACGTTTTGACCTGTTTTTAGAGTAAATGTTAACTTAATGTTTATACCAATTTAGATTCTATTTTTGTTGTTTTCGGTCAATTAGAAATTTCTAATAATTGTAAATTGTAAGAGGAATAAACTAGTATCTAAAGTACAGGTTTATACTTAATTTGGGTTCCTGGAAACAATGTATAATGTGAAAACTGGATTTCACATTGGATGAAATTGTATTTTACAAATTTATTTTAGGTAATCAACAGCTTATAAAATTTATACACTATATATATATAGTATTACATAATTAGTAAAGCCAATAATAGATACCTCATGAATTAAAAAAAAACTAAAAAAAAAAACAATACAGTTAAACAGGTCAGAGTCAAAGTTGAAGAACTGGATAGGGTGAATATAATTAGTAAATTATAATAAGTAATTGGTATTAAAAAAACTTTAAATTTAAAGAAATAAGGCTTAAAATTGCAAATGTAATAAACATGTCAGAATAATCCCATAAAACATGTTATGACGAAGGTGATATTTGTCTCAGGCCTGTAGGGACTCAAGTGGCTACTTTCTGTTTAGTTTCCATCGGAAATTGCCGGTGGAAAAATGTGAATAGCGAATTTCTCCAACAATTTTCTTACACGCCGGCGTTTCTCTGTTACCTACATTACCGAGATCGTACGTTGAGACGAGTGTCTTGAAAATGAAAGATAATGTTGCGTATAAGTGGTTATTTGCGACCATTGAAATAAACAGTTAACTAGCGATATCAAAAAATATTCTATTTGATTCGCGGTCTCAGTGGTCTAGTAGTGAAGCACAGCGATTTTCTTCCGATGGACGCTCTTTCGATTCGCGTTGCACAAGTTTTGAATTTAATTAAAGATTGTCAAACTTAGGTTCTTTCCTCTAAAAATATAATAATATTATTTAAATAACAGTAAGCTTATATTAGTTTATTTCGGTTATTAACGACACTATTTTTAAGAAATAAATACTTACGTCTGGACTATTCTAGACTGATGTTATAAGGAGGTAAAGTTATTTTTAGTTAATAATGAATAAACACAATAAATACAAGTGATTTTAAAAATTCCTTTCCCTATACTAAGCTATATTACAATAATGTTAAATGCCAAAATATCTGTCCATCTATTTGTTACTTTTTTACGACTAAATTGACTTGAAAATCATTTTGTTGCAGGCTACTTTTTATTAAAAAAAACTGTATAAAGTCGCAAACAATAGCTAGTGGCGTGTGTTACTGGAGCGGGAACACAACTACTATTTTAATAAAAACCAAATACTAGTAAAAATGTGTATTCTTCCCAAAAGGGCTCACAGCAAAGGATAGTAACAAAAACAATATTAGTCAAAAGTGACATATAAACAATAGATATAAAAAATATAACGTTTATAAAAAGAATGGTAGACAGGCTGCCAGTAACAGCCTGTATAAAAATATATATCCCTGCAACAATTGCATTGCTACTACATAATATAGTTTTTATTATCAAAAACGTGGTTTACGGTTAGTTTTTATCCGTTGACTGATTGTTTTGAGACTGGACGTATCGCTAAAGGCTCGGTCTTTCTCTTCGCCGGTGTTCCGTGTGTTTTGGTTGTTTTTTTCGTAGCCGGCGACCGGTCTAGCATGCGAGCCGCTTTCTAACCATCCACTATAGATAGTGTCTTGCGTGTTTCCTTAGCGGATATGTACACTTCGATACCTATTTATATATGTACGTGTTCAAATACTGCAACGTTTAATTCATACAGAGCTACCGTTAGTATTATCTGACTGTTGGATATATTTTGTAATTAGAACGGCCTACCTGATTACCATCAGTGGTAACCATCGCAACATGAACATCATAATGGGTGTCACTTGACGCCCGTCACACCACTCATGCGTTGCCATTCCAAAGGTCTAAGATGTAATGCCTTATCCTGTAATTATACTGCCTTATCCCACTTCAATCGTAACACAACTTATATAGCAACTAGCAAAGTGACTGAAATTGATGAGACAGTATTAAAACTTAATACAATTTTTTCTATAGATAGAGCAGTACGGTTAGCAATGTAAACCAAACCATTTAGGGAAAAGATTAATTCCAATAACTTGATGTTCATAAGAGCCTTAAATGTCCTACATGAATAAATTATTTTTATTTCATTTGATTAACAGTCATGGTTATGCAGCGGTTTAACGCTTTACGTTTTTTAAAATTTTATTCTTAAGAGGACTATTACAAAATGATGCCGCTCAACTTTAGGTTTAATCGCATGGATTTACGCACACATACAGTAATACACGCACACAGACGCAAATAACCGTGTAGCTCAATCGGTGTGGATTTAGTATGAACCATTTTGATCCTTGTAATATTTTAATTAATAATGTGATATGTTTCTACTTAACTGAGACTACTTATTGGATTTTTTTAAATAACGTGATTTATCTTAATTATCAAAGTGCTAATAATGACCATATTTTTTTATTATATTATTCCTAGAGGGTTGATGTCAGGATGCTGGCCGATTGTACAACTAAAAGCCAAAACCTTAAGTAATATGAGTAACAAATAATTGGGATAAGGACAGGAAGATGAAATTACTATAACATAAATTTACTAATTAATTCTTCTTACATATTAATTCAGTTTATTTATTAATAGATACAATATAATTTATTATAAGAGTCGGATACATTATTGCCATATTCACTTGTTCTAAATATTATACTTAGCAAATAATTATTTTATTTATATATAATAGTTCTGTTTTCAAGGCTTTGTTTTGATTTAAAGGTCCCATCTTTATATGTATATTAGGTGTGTCCGCGACTTCGTCAGCGTGGTATAATGAAATTGACCAAATAAAGGAAATATATTTAGATTATAACCTAAAAAAGTTTCTTTGTTTCAATTAAACAATGACGATACTTTTATACAACCTTTCATCTCCGCTTTTAATCCCTTACAATACTTTTTTCGCACTATAAAGTAGTCTATGACCTTTCTCAGGGTATACTATCTGTGTATATGTATATCTATCTATATAGACTACCTGTGTATATATATGGTAGTGAATTTACAAGGTACAGGGGAATAACACCCGAGTTTTCAGGAATGGTAACGCATGAGGGAAACAATGTGCTGATATGAACATGGCAGGTACTGCTCATGTATATAGGCGACGGTTACCCCTTTCCATCAGGAGAGCCATCAGCTTGTTTGCCATTCTAAGTTGTAAAAAAAAAGCTTCAACTGCTATCATTGCTGTTCCTGCATCATTGACGTCGCCGCATGATATTGGCTGATATTGCAGCTTCTCGTTCTTGGTTGGCCGATTCTTGATTCTTGATAAATAATTAATTGTTAATGTCAAACCTTTTTATAAATTATTATAAGACGCCTCATTGATTATATGTAATGAAATCACCATGAGCTATAGAGATTTTGGACAGAACCTTAAAAGACCTTAGAAACACCTCTGCTCTCATTGGCGGGATTACTTTTATACTTTTGCTGGAGATTTCTGAAAGACTCTCTGTGTCATTAACATCGTCTCCCTTATGGACTTTAATTGAAAGTTTAAAACTACTGACAAATTTGAGAGCTCATTTTTATGGAAGCACAGATAATGATTTCCCACACTAAATGCTCAAACTTGAGGAAGGAATTTCTCAA